CATGATTAATTACTCGGCCATGGCATGTCGTCTAGTTTGATAACGCTATCTAACGGGGTCGCCACGGCTTACCTAGCCCGCTTTCAAATTGATTACTGACTGCTAAACAACTGCTAAAGCTTAAGATTTTTAAATTTACCCAAGGTTAATTGCCGCCAGCAATGTTTCCGGAATAAAATTTGAGCCAAAAACCTTTAAAATTGAGCGTACCCACTTCTTCCTTAATGGCAGGCAACAAATTTGTGATACCTATGGAGCTAAGTAAATTTTAAGCATTTTCAGATGTTAAATTAATCAAAATATTAAATCTGCATAATAAAAGCAGTCTATTAAAAAAACCTAGTTTATATTATTCTTTACTGTTCAATATCGCTTTATTCAGATAAATCTTTTCAAAACTTACACAATACAAATTTTCGTTGCCATTTAAACAATATATCAAGCTGATGCTTTTAAAATTACCACGAAATAAGAGTGTAATCGCTATTTTAACACAACTTACCCATCATCAAAGCATTAAAACAATAGTTTTATAGTTCAATAGTGCTCTGTAAATCATATGTAGATAAAAACACAAATACCAGTGTGGTGAGTTTAATTCTCACCGAATATTGGATTTACTGGTTTTGATTAGACGCCAGAAAGATCAAAGATTCGTGCGGCCTTGCCTTGGCATGCGTTTGTTGCCACAGCGGAACAATATAGAACGCGCGCTGAAAGATGCCTCTCTTCTGGAGTGTGACTGATTGTGATAGAATTTCCTATTCGATTTCGCGCAGGTGGAATTAACTATGAAATCTAAAAAAATATTTACTAGAAAAAATTGGTTGCCTGTAAAGTTGTTTTACGGGCGATAATTTTACTTGATAACGTCATAAAGAACATTGATGAAAAATTGCATAATTGCTAGCTCTGACGTCACGCGAGAAGAAAGATAAATGTAATAGTGTACAAGCTGACGCTTGGGCCGATGGTGCCTCTCTATCGCTTGTTCCGCGCTCTCGCTTGCACGCTCAGGCTCAGGCGGAACGTGACATTTTTTCGTGCTTGCAGCCGGTGTGCATCGATTTATAAGACGTTATCACGTCAAAAACGTTACTGAAACATTTTTCAAATATTTCTATCACAAGCAATATCCATACATTAAAAAGTTTCAATCTCGTCTCACTAATAAACATAATTAGAAAGCATACGTGATTTTTGTGCGAGCGAATGTGAGATGAGAGCTTTCAACTATAAAACTACAAAATATCGCTTAGTTTTGTTATTTTAGTCTTGAATTTTCGCTCGCCCAATGTATTTCAGTACAAATGACAGCCACAGCTAAGTATAAATCTGCAAGCGATAACTATTCTGCCTCAGTAATGAGTTCAAGTCGTAACGAATGGAGTAAGACAATCAGAATGAAGCTGCAAGTTGGACGCAGGCGGCTAACTTGTGGACAAAGCCGTGTTGTTTATGGCTAATGCTCTTGGAATCTCGAATTTAGAACCGAAACATATATTGTTATGTACGCTGCATTGTTTTTGTATTGAGTTCAGTTAGATGTAAGTAGGCCACAATTTTATTTAGTAAAAAAAGCACACTAAACTATACTCATGAGTATGAAATAGAACGTAGCATATCCAGTGGAAGCAGAATAATTGAATTCGTGTTTTTCATTGAAAAAGCTTTTAGCGTTAAGTCCGCCTTATGTCCATTTTGAAATTGTGTCAATAAAGTTTAAATAAATAAGTAATAAAATAAAAGCAGTGAAATCTGAACTTGATCTTCTGTAGAAGCTGTATAAAATAAAAGTTTTTGGTGGTTTGTAAGTAACCATTCGTGCCGGCTTTTTTCCATCTTTGTTTTTTATCGGTTATGCAAGTAGCATAACCGTGGACTTAACAATTATAATAAGTACCTACAGTATTCTTAAAATAATATTTTATTTGTAACAATAACATTCCTAATCGAGAGTAACACAATAAAGCATGATTTTAGTGAATAGAAAAAAACACTATTCACAATATCCTCTGAAGCGTGGCAACGCATACATCAATCTCACGGCACACTGCTCACGAAAGCATACCATCAATATCATATATTCATAAAAAATCACATCGCGTCAGCCCATCTTAATTCTCCCATAAAGTATTGCATTTCATATTCCATGCAACTCATCTAAATGTTTTCAAAAGGAACGGCTCGTTGAATTAACTTTGAGTAGTTAATGTGGGTTCCTTGCTTTCACGATGATTTTGTTATAAACTATTAGTGGCAGCCAGGGAATTCGTTCGCGTTAACCTAATTTTTTTTAAGAATCCCACAGGAACTTAACATTTTTGTAGGATAAAAAGTATTCAATCCAAGTCATAAACTCATATGTTCGTTTCAAATTTCACACAAAACCATTCAGTAGTTTAGTATGATTTAGTATCAAACTTACAAACTTTCCCATTTATTACGCTACTAGCTGTGCCCCGCGGTGTTACCCGCGGTTTATTAGGTATATTTCCCGCAGTAAAACATAGCCTATGTGTTAATCCAGGGTGTCAGCTAACTCCATACCAAATTTTATTAAAATCGCTCCAGCCATTTAGACGTGAAGAAGTAACAAACATACACACTCACATACTCACAAACTTTCGCCTTTATGATATTAGTGTGATTAACAGGGCTTCAATTCACTTGGTTTTAATAATTTATTCCACACGGTTTTAATATTTTATTCCACTCGACCGGGAGGTTTCTACCCTCCTCCAATCCTGTTTTTTTTTTTGCTGTAGGAGTATTCTCCCTTCTTGGATAGGCAAAGGATATTTACTTTTTTACATTGGAATGATTTTTGGAGTATTTGGAACGAAATGTATCGATTCTGCTTGGGATTAGGTTTCTACATGTCTGAAATGTAAACGTGATTTGTTTGTTTCAAGAACGTTAAAGAAAACCACAGTAAAAAAATGGTTGCCTGTAAAGTCGGTTTTACGGGCGAAGATTTTACGTGACAACGTCTTTTTCTCGGTAGAATATTTATTGATATGAATATAATTAAATTGCACAATAGGAACAAGGAATTGAATGAAAATAAGAATTGCACAAATTTTAACTATAGAAATATATTTTGTTTACTAAAACATTGTACATGTAAACTTAAACTCATCGTAACGTTACCGAGCGTTACACTTTTTCATAAGTGACTCCCAGCCGCAACCTAATTTAAGACGTTGTCACGTCAAAAAACGTAACGTTCCAAAGTTAATCATAATAAAGACAACCTAAGTTGATTGCTTAGGCTTGCCGCCAAATCACAATCATATTCTAGAACTAACCTTTTTTATGTAAACTACAATACTTTGGTACATAATAACATCAATAATTCGAACCTGAGTCTTCCGGTGGGTCCTGTTCAAATTATTTATGATTACTCAGTATCAGTAATAGGTTTCATTATAATAATATCGTAACAATGTAACTGCATAGACTGGAAACAACATATAATTTTGCATTATTTCCGATTCCAAATGACTACTTATTTGTAACCATGAGATAGTGATGGGATCAAAGAATTAGACCTATCATTTCTAATTCGTTGGATTTTGATTAAGAAAGCAATTTTAGACGAATCAAAGAATAGCCAGATCACCTCACGTTAAGGTTCTTTATATCTTTAATAAGGCCTTAATCTATTTATACATAAAAAATAATGATTTATGAAACGGAAATAAATGCGTTTGCTTTGATTAAACGATTTTCCTAATAATTGAACAGCGAATGGGATAACGAAATTTTATCTGAATAAATATTACATATATTCTTAGCTTCTCCATAATCAGGAAGATACTGCTTCTTCTCGCTGTATCACGGTCACTGGTTGGCGTTATGGTACCATATAAACCTGCCATAGACCTCTCTCAGGCAGAGGCATCAGAACACAACAGAATACTGCAACATATTTGATGTTTTATAAGAAGGTCGACTTCCTCATTTCGTATCCTTTCCCTTCGCCTTACCTCGCTTACCACTAAATGCGTCAAAAACAACAGCGTTACTACATTAATTATGTTACATTTATAGCCGTGATCTTTCTAACTCTAGCTTTCCTACTTTAATCATTTATTAATCTTTTGTGTGTATGAAAGGCAACGCATAGCTTAAATCACTGAACGGATTGCTCTGAAATTTGGCACATATATTTCTGTTAGGATATAGGCGTGCGCTAAAAAAGGATTTTCCAAAACTCACCCCACCTAAAGGGATAAAACGAAGGATCAAAGTTTATGGGAAACCACTATTTCCTGGGAGAAGAAGTTGCCCACTAGTTAAGCGATATCTGCCATTTTTTGAAAATTCGCTAATTTAACATTAATCTACAAGTGTCTTTTCTACGCATTCTCATACAAATCTGTCATAAAAATTCACTCTGATGATCCGCTTGGTTGTCGCAAAGCTGCCGCGGCTACAAGCCTCAGGGCGACACAGCCGGTGTGTCCAGCGTAAACCCAAAAACCTGGCCATTAATACTTATGTCTATCGTGAGGCAAAAGCACGAATTTTGATAGCTCCGTAATCATCAAATTTTGTATGAAAGGAGCCAGTTTATACTTATGCCCGGTAGGGGTGCTGCTTAGTTTTCATAGACACTGACCATGCGATATGATTACGGAGCTAACAAAATTCGTGCTTGGACCTCTGCTCACCTGAGACGGTGTCTGATGTTCCGCTTGGTTGTGGCAGAGCTACCGCGGCCGCAAGCCCCTGGGCGGCATAGCCAGCGTGACCAGCGTAAACCCAAACACGGCATGCTTATGTCTATCCTGAGACCCAAGCTCAAATTTTGAAAGCCCCGTAATCGTATCAAATTTTGTATGGAAGGACCCAGTTTATTCTTACATCCGGTAGGGGTGCCGCTTAGTTTTTACAGAAACTGACGGTGCAAGTTGATTACGGAGCTATCAAAATTCATGCTTGGGCCTCTGCTCCCCTGAGCCGGTGTCTGATGATCCGCTTGGTTGTGGCAGAGCTACCGCGGCCGCAAGCCCCTGGGCGGCACAGCCGGCGTGGCCGGCGTGAGCCCCGTGTTGCCCGGCGCGAGCCCCGGAGTGCCCGCCGCCGCATCCAGCCCCGCGCCGCACGCGCCCGCCGCCCCCAGCCCCGCGCCCGCCACCACGCCCGCCATGAAGCAGGACCATCCCAGCCAGCCGATGGTGAGAACGCATCCATTGAACAAACCTTTTTTATAATATATAATTTTGAATTGATAAAAAATGCTCAATTTACATTCCTAAATATACAATCATTATTAACAAATAGTAAGATATTTATAACTAAAAACCTTAAAATATATAATAACTAAAATACATTATTAAAAAGAGTCCCTTTAGGCAAGGTTCCAAAGATACTGGCAGCGTTCCCCCTTTGAATAGCTAGAGTCTAGTGGTTCTTAACCGGTGGTCCGCGGACCACAGGTGGTCCCTGGAGGCATTCCAAGTGGTCCGCGAAGCCATCCTAATAATATGTGACGTGACGTCATGAGTCGAGTCGAAACAACGCGAGCCGCGCGCGGCACGAGTCCGAAGGCGAAACGCGGTGCACGAGAGCGGGGGTGGCGGTTTCGTTCCATTCGTTCTTTGTTTTAGCGGCGCGGGTTGCCGATCGTCACTTGTAGCGTCGACGTTGTAATGAGCGGTAGTGATTTATTATAGGTAAGTAAAATAAATATTATTTGTTTGGTTTATGTCACACAACTAGCTATTGCGGATTACTAATTTTACTTTATTTTCGTCACGTTGTAAATCTGCTAGGTTTCTTATTAGGTAGGTAAGAAGTTTTTAATATTTTATATAAAACGGAAAATAATGCACAATTCAGTATTTTTGTAGGCTAGGTTAGGTTTTAATAAGCAATTAAAAAATCGGTTTCATTTAAAGTCGGTTTACATAAGATCCATCGTTTTATAAGACGTTGTCACGTCAAAACGAGCCTTATTTGACTTGCATTGTTTGTGTGTAGGTAGGTACGTTTGTTTGTTCGGGTCTAAACCTTACAACTAAATATTTCAAAGCAGTTATTCTCAACCAATTGAGGCAAAGTTGGGAATACATAATATTATATCATTTCGGTGACAATGCAATTGCTTGGTATAATTGAGCAGATTATGATGTATATGTAAATATAGGTACCTACTTAATAATACCGTCGTATTTGGGCTCATTTGATACGTCTTGAGCAGTAGATACTTTAACCGTCATTCCAACAGCTGGCCATAGACCTCACAAATAAAAGCTTATCAAAACAACACATTTTTATTATCAGATCTTATACCTGTCCATATTATCGCTAAAACTTCGTTTTCAGAAAAATGCCACCAAAAAGAAAATATGACGACGACTATATTAAGCTGGGCTTTACTTCAATAGAAATTAATGGAGAAACTAGACCACAATGCGTTTTATGTGCAACTGTTCTTTCTAACGACGCTTTAAAACCGGCAAAGTTGGAACGTCATTTGAAGACCGTGCATCCGAAGTTTTGTAACCGTTCGCGAGAATTCTTTGAAGGCAAACTAACAAGTCTTAAAAAAATGAAACTTGGACCCAGTGGAACAAGTTATGAAACCTCTGAAAAAACATTATCTGCATCATTTGAAGTTTCAAAATTGATTGCCAAATCGAAAAAAGCACACACAATCGGCGAATCTTTAATAAAGCCCTGTATGCTCAAAGTTGCAGAAGAGCTTTTAGGTGCGGAAGCTCAAAAGAAAATTCGTGAAATACCGCTTTCTAATGACACAATTAAGTCGCGTATTCAAAAAATGTCAACTGATATTGAAGACCAAGTTATTGACAAGATTAAAAACAGCCCTTATTTTGCATTACAATGTGATGAGTCTACCGATGTTTCGCAATGCTGTCAATTACTTGTATTTATTCGATTTTTGGAGGACAACAAAATGTTTAAAGAAGAGTTATTATTTTCTCAAGAACTTAAAACTACGTCGCAAGGTGCAGATGTTATGAATGCAATAAGCCAATATATGGAGGAACATGGACTTATGTGGGAAAGGCTTGCCGGGTTTTGTACTGACGGTGCTCCTGCTATGCTTGGTTCTCGCTCTGGTCTTGCAGCATTGGTAAAAACCAAAAATCCTTCCGCAATTACGACGCACTGCGTTATTCACCGTCAAGCATTGGCTGCCAAAACGCTCCCGGAATGTTTTACTATAGCTCTGAAAACAGCTATAAAAGTAGTTAACTTCATTAAAAAGAGCGCACTCAATACTCGTCTATTCAAACAGTTGTGTTCTGACATGAACTCTGAACACGAAACTCTGCTTTTCCACACAGAAGTTCGTTGGCTTTCAAAAGGAAACATGCTGTCGAGGTTGTACGAACTAAGAGAGGAAGTACAAGTATTCTTAACTATCAAGGAAAACAAAGAGTTGCTAGATCAGTTCTGTGAGCCCGAATATAAAGTACGTTTTGCTTATTTGGTCGACTTTTTTGCGCAAATAAATAAATTGAACCTTCAAATGCAAGGGTCCGGAAATTTGAAGTTGCAAGGCATGAGCAACATATTTGCATATGAAGATAAAATCAGGGCGTTTATTGCTAAAATCGAGCTATGGATCAATAAGATCGAAAGAAAAAACTTTTCTGCATTTGATACGCTCAACCAAATTATTGACGGACAAGGTGCAGATATTAAAGAAGAAATTCAGAAGAACGTGATGCTCCATTTGACTAATTTAAAAAGTGAATTCAATCGCTATTTTCCTGACTGCGAGGACAAAAGTATTCAGAAATTGATCCGGAATCCTTTCATTGTCAACGTTTCTGAAGTTTCTGATGAAATTCAAGAAGAAGTGATTGAAATGCAACACGACACGAACTTAAAAGATACATTCGAATCAGGAATAAATCTTGAAGATTATTGGAGCCAAAAAGCAATTTCTTTTCCAAAGCTTCGAGACATTGCTATACGTTACCTAACATTATTTTCATCGACGTATCTATGCGAGCAGGGGTTTTCGACGCTTCTGATTATTAAAAACAAGCATCGAAATCGGTTGGATGCCACTGCCGATATGCGTTTAGTTGAGTAGTACTGAACCGAGAATTCCGAAGTTAGTAAAGAGTATGCAGGCACAAAAATCACATTAAATTAAAATCTGTAACTTTTATATTTTTGCCAAATAATAAATAAATGAGTGCTAATTATAAAATTGTGCTTGTTTTCTTTATCAAACAACCCTTAATTTAGGTCATTTTAGTTAGGTAAACCAACTGGGTGGTCCCCGGCCATAGAAACATTTGGTAAAATGGTCCCTCATGACTAAAAGGTTAAGAACCACTGAGCTAGACTAATTCTCTGATGCGTATTGGGAGTTCGGGTGATACGAATCGAACCGAACGAACTCTAACAAGAAAACAAATTCTTGTTTTTCTTAACGGCACCGTTTTTCCTCAACTCGACACTTCACCTCAGTCTATTTAATCTCCCTAGAATGGTAGGGAGACTAAGTCATGACCCATCAAGCTGTGCCAATGCTACCGGGACTAACATCTTTCTTGACACTGCTTACCTTAAAAGAGAATAAAGATTTTAGCTTAGGAAATCGCTAGATTAATTTCATTATAATGCTACAATTCAGGCGGGAAATGATGTATCATATTATGTGTGAGTAAAGAATTTATTTTGTTGTCACGCTGCTGCTTCTCCTTCCTTCCTTACCCATCATCTTTACTTATCACATTGTAACTTGAACAGACTTTATCTCTAGATTTGGGAAAAAGAACTAGGTACATACGATATGTAATCTAATTTGGCAGTAGTCTTGTTCGGTGTATAGAATAGTTGTTTAAGCTGATATAAGCTGTATCTCTAGATATCTGTAGCACTAGAAGTTACTCTTGTTACTCTCTCTTAAATAGTTGCTGTTGACAATAATAATATGAAATATAAAATCTTTCTCTCAGATGTATCAATATCTACCAACTTCTATTGGTACAAGATGATGTCAGTTCATATAGCTAACCAGGGAAACGATCAAAAGTAGAATATAATAAAATGAAAATTCAGAGGGAATAGGGCAGAAAAAAGAAGGAAAATAAGACAGATACCTAATTGTAAAGAGACGGTTGATTAAATGGTCTTAAGTACCTACTAACTACCTGTGGTCCTCTTACAAAGCTATTTCACCAAAGGAGTTACGGAAACAAAAGCTATTAGTTTAGAAGATTCATTAAAAGAGTTTCCTTTACCCGTTGTACTTTGAACGACAATAGAAAATGCAACTATATATTATGTAGAGTAACGTAATATTAATTCTAATAACCGAAAATGGAAGGTAATATCGTTAGCGAAAAACTATCATATTAAGTCATAAAAGCATGTTGATGGCCCGCTAACTACGTCGTTATTGCACGCTACTTAAAAACGTATTAAAGCTCCATTAATTACTTTGAGTAACAAGACGTCATACGAAAAACTAGAGCTGTAGGCACATGTGTAAACTTGGGAAATTATGCCTTAATTACATTAATTATTACGTTACATAAGATTTATTGCATTTTTAACGACTTCGCCTCGTGCGACGCTCGGAGTACACACACACACGCGCGCGCCCAAACTTCGCTTCATTATTAAAATCGTATTCGTGAGAATTTCATTAAATTAATGTAATAATAAAGTTCGTAATATAAGGGATTTCAGGGAAAATGGAAAAGTAAATTAGTTAATCAAATAACTTTTATAACAACCTTGTTGCCGTGAATTCGTTAGACTAAAATTTATTACACAAGATGAAAATCTGATTTCTAAATTCAGATGAACGAAATATAAACGACCTCGTTTTATATTCCTGTTATACGAGTACCTACTATTTCTTCTTTCAATTTCAATGCGTTATAAGCGTATAATTATGTAGGCATGTAATTTGGAACATAATGATGTTAAACAACTTTTGTTTCGTGTTGTAAACATCTTTCAGTAAATTGAATTCCGTACAATCTGACTTCAAAGAGTTTATTAAGTTGTTTATCTCTCGTAACTAGTTACCTCGAGTTATTTTTAAGTAAAATCTCATTAATTTTCTGATCGGATTTAGCTGTCAGCATTCTTAATACCTGTAATTGTTAGGACTACTTGGACTCCTCTGTTTTGTTTAGCCCTGGAATAGTGGTTTAAATTAAGGCTAACTTATGGTCTTGCACAGATATAAATAAGTACTAACTACTTATTGGGCCAGAACAGAATCTTTAGTTATTATTACACTAGTCGATCCAAAACAGGGTGTTAACACTGGGCTCTTATTCTATGGCTGGGCTAACCAAACAAATAAATATTCAAATTGACACGACTTCTAGCTTTTATAAAGTTCCTATATCAACTACGAATAAGTTATAAAAAGTACTAAGTTGTTTTTAAGTACAAATAGGTAATAACGGACTTTTCTGATGATGTAAAGAAATAGATGAGCATGTTTTATTGCGTTTTTTGCAATAAAAAATGTACAGGCACCTGGTTCCTATGGATGGCATAGTTAGATGTATGTATAACAGATTGTCCATAGAGAATACTGTGTCGTCCCCATAGGTCTGAATAGTCAGAGGATCAAACTAATTTAATCAAAGAAACTGTAATAATTTCCTTTATCCGGATTAAGTAGTTAGCTTAAAACTAGTTGAAGTACTTTAATCATCATTTAGTCCTAAACTAACAAGAGCTGGCACTAAACTAAAGAACACCCACTCTAATGCCCGTATTATAGAAATATTCTCAGTAATGAATCTAGTATTGAGCATAGATAGAAAGGGATGTCGCTATATATAGCAAATAGCAACATCCCTTTCTAACTGTACTCAAGTAAAGATCAACACTTAGTTGTCATACTGTAATACGGGCCTAAGAGCTGTCACAGAGAAATTGAAAAGATAAAAATCTTCTATAATAATGAACAGTCACCTCCTTTTGCAGAAAAACATGGTTTTTGTTGTTTTTATTTATTTCTTATCAACATAATGAAAAAGTAGTTTATACGAGTGTCAGCATTCTTAAGAGGGGAGGCAGGCAATGTTTTTTCCATACAAACGTTCTCGACTGACTCCTCCTTAATTTTTATCACTAAATAATTGATTTTCATACATAAAATATAATTTTACTCCTTCTATGTGTTCCTTTTTTCATAACTTGTGATTCAAGAAAACTAGAAGCCCTGAAAAAGAAGACGTCTAGTGTGGAGATTTTATATGCATTTACAAAAAAAGCAAAACAAAGCGGCATATTATAACTTATTATTCTATGGGTAAAATTTCTTTTACATATGTTTAATTTTCGAGGAAGAAATCGTAGAGAGCCAAGCCTCGGATTTTGCAATTTTTATACGCAATTTTCAGCTTTAACTACAGCCCTCAGCACAGTATTTGTCAATGCGTGACAGCAATAGTTTATTCAAATACCTTTTTCTCAAATGTCTCTCAGCTCGCGTCCGCTCTTAATATATGTCATTGTTAGGGCCACTTGCACTGCTCTGTTTTGTTTAGCCCTGGACTAGTAAATCAAGGCTTACTTTACAAATCCGAAGAATGGTCTTGCTGAAGAAGAAGGTATTCGACTTCGCCTCATGCGATAAACAGACTCACGTGTTTGAACAGCTAAATTATATACATACATAAATATAGTTGCATACACTACTTTATCTTCAATCATAGGAATAATGAAATTAAACAAAGTAACAAAGAAATATTTTGCTAAACTTTTCTGAAATCCCGAAAACAAAAAACGATCCGCTGAAAATTGTTTGGGAAGCGGGAGAAATTAATTTAAAATTTCGAATATGTACGCCTCTTTTTTACATTCAGCCTAACATCATAGCCTAATTTAATAAATAAAAAAAAGTTTACTATAATGATTAAAAAGTTATTTTATGATACAGTTAGCAATACTGTAGTGAACTTTATTATTAATTTAATGTTATTGCGTTTCTAAAGTTCTTTATAAAAGTACCTTTAATTTCGAATATTTCAACAGGAGTGTAGATAAACACTTTTTAACATGATTCTTCACGTTTTGGACCCGAGCTACGAGCCCCATGTTCGTAAGAGAAGCAACGTAAAAAAACTCAACATTTTTCACTTCCATTACTAATAAATTGTCAGGCGAATCCAAGGATATACATAATAAATAGTTGTTAATCGAAAACCAACTAAAATAGTTGTAACCAGTCGATAAATAATACCAACTATCGAGTCTGTATCGCAAGGTTTGAGTTACCGCCCGCCCTGGCGTCTGCGGGTTATTGGTTACTATAACGTACAGCCTAAGTTTTCAAACGTTTAATGTTGCAGAAACGGTAAAGGCTGAACCCTGATTTGTCGATATAGTGCATGTTAAATATAACTTTTTCGAGATTGCGTTTGTACCGGTCCCATCGTACACTCGCGGAAAGACCCGCTCTGTCACCCATAATGCCATTATCGCTTGCGGTAGCGGCGTAGTAGTAAAAATTCATTCATAGACATGTAATTATCGCTGTCTTACTTTTTCGTATAGCGCTGTCGCGATCACGATGCGGATGACAAATTGCAACTAAAACAAATGCAATTCAATTCATTATTCATCAATGAATAGCTCTCTGTCTTACTTTTGTGCGGCGGCCCGGATTGGCGCGTCCGACTCGAAGGTGGGGCGTAGTAAAAACTACTGTAGAAAACCGTTCAAAGCATTTTGTTCGCCAAGTGACAGAACGCAAAATTCCGCGATAGTACCTACAAAGTGTGACACTTTGTTGTCCTATACAAACATGGTATGTAATATTCTTTAGTTTCTGATTCTCTATGGTATAGATACAAACTTATATCTATAAAATCATTCATCGTCACAGTCATCTTCTTCATTTTTGTAGGGTCGTCTCCTCCTTGGAACTTTTCAATTCCTATGTCTATGTCTTGAGGCCAATAGTATTGATAATCCAGTAACTCGCTTGACTTGAGCTAACATCACGAGACTTGCCCCGTATCATGACGATTATAATAATAAGTGAATTTCTATCACAATTGTATAAAATTTAGTCGATGAATCTTATTTATTAGAAATAGAAGAATATTTCTCACCCATATTACATCTACAAACTTCGTAAACAAATATAATAAAATAACTTGTTTTGTATATAATAATATGTACCTACCTAGTTCATTGAATTTATTTTTATTCCCACGAGTTTAATAACACATTTTTTTCTTACTATCAAACATTCTTGTAATATAACCAAAAAATATTATTATGTTGTTTTACTTGTAATCTCAAGGGAATCTCATTAAAAAGACAAACAAAGTTTTAACAACGAAGCTCATACGCACCGCGTTATTAAACGACAGCCTACTCGAAGGAATTCGCGTTAAAATTAAAATCCTCCGGAGTTCAGTAAAACGCTGTGTTAACATATAATTTGTTTCCGCAACATGTTTATTCGCCCTCATTTTCGTACAAGACTTTTCAGTAATTTAATAATATTCTTTATCTCGACGAGAATATTAAAAAGATAATTTCTTACCTGCGTTTTGTGTGTGCGTCAGCACTCAAGTTGCCCATTCATAATGAAAGCTTTTTGCTCTATATAAATTTTACGGTACTTACAAAATTATGAGGGCATTAAATTTCAAAAAGGGAAGTTAGGGAGGTGGAACTAAAGAAACAAGAATGCGCCAGCTGCTTGCTATCCTTCTCATAAGTCTATTACCGTACAAAATAATTTCGGAAATTATGCCTACGCAGCCAACCTTATGTTTGTACTTTACCTACAGGAGTATGTACCCTTGGTGCTCTGCCAACTCCTCAAGAAATAACTTTCACATTAAAATAATTAAAGAAAAATCTATAGCGTTTAGATCTTATTTTATTTGTCCTAGAAGATTAGGATATCCAAGTTTGACATAACTGTATGACCAAAGACAAAGTAGGGCAGTGAAGTTATAAGATTAGAATACATTTAGCTGACCTCGTTCAACACAAGATTGTATTAGGCCGTTTCACACGATGGTGTAACAAAGCAAACAATGTCCAAGGCCCTGGCTCAGCCTCGGCCTCGATCACCGTGTTATGTGAATATTATGACAGGTGCACATTACTTTGACCCAGATAAAAGAAAATTAAACCATGTTTTAACCTTTACAGGCGCCCATGCCGTTCTACGCTGGAGATCCGAACAGGTTTCCGGCAGCGTGGCAAACGGACCCATCGCAAGGTGAGTACTTATCCACACCAAAACATCCGATTTATAATAATTTTGCAATCCGACGAATTAAATGAAAAACGACTCAGGGAATAATCTGTATGTTATAGGATGGCAGAACCAGTTCATCCAGCAGCTTCCGACACAAACCGGTCAGACAACGTTGGATTATCAAGGAAACCATACCGCATACGCGACATCACCTCACTACCAAGCAAACACCACGTACACCGTCCAAAATGTCGCCACAACGTTTGATGTCACCAACAACACGTATTACCAGGCTGGTGTTCAAGCAGTCCCAGCCCAAAGGCCACCATCCAATCGCGGAGCTTACACACCAGTCCCGTCTCCCAGAGCCCCACATTATACTACCGAGTATCAGCAACAGTACGCACAACAAGCACCAACTCCTGGTGTCACTACCGGTAGTGATTCTAGGCCATCATCCGCAGCTTCTTACCAAAGTTCTGTAGCCACCTCAGCCGCTCCAGTCTACACCGTTAGTCAGCAAAACTATGAACGCACGGAATATAGTGCAGACCACACAGAAGACTACAGTAACGGTGAAAATGGAACAACTGACTCAAATAGCGAGGTAGACAGACAAGAGCAAACTACGCCCAGTGGTCAGCATTCGGGAAACGCCGAGCCTGGATACCTGCAGGGGAGCAACGGTCCGCGAGCTTCACTAGATTGTAGCGGGTATTCGGGCGGCTATAACAGCGGACAGTATCGCGAAAATGGCCAACAACAGAACCAGAGTGATTGGCAACAACGTCAATGGCAACACAACCAAAGAATACAAAACCAACAGATTCAAAACCAACAACAGTTACAAAATCAGCAGCAGATGCAAAATCAACAACAACAAATTCAAAGTCAACAACAGCAACTTCAAAACCAGCAGCAGCAGCAACAACTTCAAAACCAGCAGCAACAACAACTTCAAAACCAGCAGCAACAACAACAGCAGCAAATTCCGAATCAACAACAACAGCAACAAATCCAAAATCAGCAACAACAACAAATACAAAATCAACAGCAACAGATACAAAATCAACAGCAACAGATGCAAAATCAACAACAACAACAAATTCAAAACCAACAACAGATGCAAAATCAACAGCAATTACAGTCCCAAATGCAAAATCATCAGAATCAGCAAATGCAAAATCAACAGTTACAACAACAAAATCAGGAGAACGCTGAACAGCAGATGTTCTCACAATCAGACAGGGTGAATTTAAACTCGAGACTGAAAACGATGATATTAAATAAACAAAACCATACCCGAGACGGAACCAATACACCGCCAGACAAAGGTGATCCTGGGGAAGGGCCACCCCGGGTTTTAGATGATAGAAAGGGCGGAGTCTCCGTCAGTGATGACAGAAATACCACCGGTCATTTTTTATCGTATAGCCACCATCTCCGAGATAATTACCGCGTAAGTGAGCAGTATCCGCTCGCTGGTAATTATGCACAAAACGCCCAAGCCTATAGCGCGGGTGAATTCGGAGGTGGTGGCCACCAAGTATGGGAGGGGGGGACGGATGTCCCGAGAGTTTATAGTAAACACGCTTTGTCGAAGAACGTATATAAAACTCCTCAAAAATTACCATCTTACTCAGAAATGAGAGGTCAATTCGGTACATATGCAAATGAATCGTATGGAACGCAAAAATATGCAGAAATGTACGGTAGCGATAGTTTAACCTATGGTCAACAAGATAATAAAGATTTTCAATCCAAAATGCTCATTGGTCCAGTATCAGAAATGAATCAACAAATTTACACTCCTACACGAGATACCAATGCACAAAGAAGAGCTTTTGATAGGGAATCATATAGTGCAAAATATAGACACCCTTCAGCCCCATTGATACCTAAGTTAGAAATACCAGATAATAATTATCAGTATCATCAAAAAGATGAAAGGTTATTAAAAGCCAATCCTCAGGGAGCTATGAATGAATTTCATAAACAAAGTGATCTTCCAAATAATAGTGCCTATAGAGATTATCCGAACGGTTTTGTTGCGAAATCTCAGCAAAACATGGTTTTACCGCCAATATCCTCGATAAAACAAGAAAATTTTGGCCAAAAACCTGCCAACTATCAAAGCTTCCATAACTACCCATATGAAAGGAGACAAGATCCTGATATTTATCCTCAAGTACCTCGAATGCAAGAAAATATGGGATTCCAAAAATATTCCAGAAGTAATAGTGAAAGTAAAACAAGTAACGAATCAGAAAATAGATTTACTTCAGGTAGGAACACTCCAGTTGAACCAAAGCCGCCTTATTACATTGAGCAGATCAAATCTGAACATTCACCACCGGGACACAAGATTTACAAAAATATGAGTTACCCACCTCCTAAGAATGAACCATATATGTTCCCTGGAGACGGAGGACCAATGACAATTAAAAATGAAGTCGGGTACTCATGTTGTCGTCAAGGTTCTACAAAAAAACCGCCGCCCGAACATTTACGAGACGGTGCGTGTCCTGGTCTTCAAACCAAAGATGAAATTCTCGAAGACGACCCAGATGCCTCAGAAAAGAGCGACTCAAAGAGTCAAAGTAAACCAAGCACACCAGGCCCTGATCCTAATAAAGTTCCTAAAGAAAACCAATTTAACTATTCCAAAGAATACTTAGAAAACCTAGAGAAGTTAAGAAATAATTCAAGAACAGAAGTACCCGATTGCAATTGTTTTCCTGCAGATAAGAATCCCCCAGAGCCTGGAAGTTATTATACACATTTAGGTATGTATATTAAGCATAGAGTTGTTATTTCATTTGAAAATAAACTACAAAAACTTATATTTATCGTATCCTCTCCTTTCAGGGTCTGCAGCAACTCTTGCAGATTTGAGAAAGGACTTGGAAGCACGGACCGGTCTCTCTGGCAAAGAGTTGAGGATAGAAAAGATTTGTTACACCGGCAAGGAAGGGAAATCAGCTCAGGGATGTCCAATAGCTAAGTGGGTGAGTGTATGGATCCCAACGTTAGTGCACTCACATTTTTATAGTAAAATCTAATCAAAAAAAAGTAGCGCTAAATTTCTAACGTATTGACCCTTATCAAATAATATGATTATTTCTGGATACCTACTCATAATAATGTTGATTAAATTAACGAAAAGAAACAGTGAAATACGTAAAACCTCAATACAATTTCGATGTTGCTTTTCTTTGGTGACGTTGTCACTTCGTAAAAGACTAATATTCTATCTTCAATGTGGAAATATCTGTTATCTCTCTCAAACTAACTCACCTTGCACTCCAGATGCGATAGTCCATTACTCTCACTGAAAATTATATCTTAGTGATTGGTAGGAGTTGTGTTAATTACTGACAATACTCTTATTGATAATCGTATCTTACTGACTGGTAGAACTTCTGTTAAACTTACTGACAATCGTTTCTGACTATCCAGGTGATCCGGCGGTCCAGTTACACGGAGAAAGTGCTAGTAGTCGTAAAGTGTCGCGCAGGGCATCGCTGCCCATCGGCCTGGCTGGTGGTCTGCGTGGTAGCGTGGGAGGGAATCCCCGCGGCTGAAGCTGACAGAGACTACGCGCTGCTGGCCAGAACTTTGCAGCGATACGGACTGCCCACTACCCGCCGCTGTGCCACCAACGAGAACCGCACCTGCGCCTGCCAGGGTACCGCCCTCCCTTATATACTGCCACTGCTCATATACCTACATACTACGTGCTGCTGGTCAGAACTCTGCTGCGCTACGGGCTGCTCATCACGCCTGCCAGGGTACCGCACTCTGCCTTCACCTCATTACATATATTCATCATCATCATAATGGATTTCCACTGCTAGACATGGGTCTCCTCTAGGGATTTCAAACACAACTGACCTGCGCTTTCTTGTCCAGTGGGTCCATACAACACAGAAAGAGGTTAGAAAGTACTTGTGGGTGGGGCAAGCGCGCCACAGTTAGGTGTGAGCAAATGCGCATAACTTGACCAAAACTTTGTTCTGATTGCGTCGTTGCTCTTAGGTGTGAGCGCTGATTGGTTCGCTTGTTTGGTATCGCGTAGTTTGATAGGCTATTATCTATTAAATGGAATTAAGTGGGGCGAGCTGACACGACATCGGTTCCCGTACAAACGGCCGATGACCACCCTTCTAACCTCTTTCTGTAATCAATGAGTGGGTCCCCCCAACTAGCTTGATGTCGTCAATCCACCTAGTGATGGATCGACCACCGGTTGTATACAGTTTTACACACTACGAAACTTCTTACTAATACTCTTTCTCTGATGTCTTATCTTTCTATAGCAATATAACAGTTTGCACGTCGCGTATATTTTCGCGAAGATCTCAAAAACTACGAAACGAATTTTCATACAAAATTCTGATTCTTATATTAAAGAGCTGAAGATATATCCTAAAAAACAACTCAGAACATCGCACTTCAATAAGCAAACAATATAGAAATAAAATCTTATGCAAATCTTTGAAAAAACTAACGCTTTGCCAATCCCTCTTCAGATTACATCAAGAACAAATTACCCCGCAGGTCTAGACCCAGAAACTTGCGGCGCGTCCTACAGCTTCGGTTGTTCCTGGTCCATGTACTACAATGGCTGCAAGTACGCGCGCTCGAAGACCGTCCGCAAGTTCCGTCTCTCCGTGAAGACCGAGGAGAGCGAGATAGAAGAACGGATGCATGTACTGGCTACATTACTCAGCCCGCTGTACATGAACCTCGCGCCCAAGTCGTTCGAGAATCAGTGCCAGTTCGAGAAGGAGGCGTCGGATTGCCGGCTGGGATTCAAACCTGGGAGACCGTTTTCTGGTAAGTAGGATTTTTTTTTATACAGATAAGTCCGACAAATGACTCCACCCCACCTGATGTTAAGTGACTGTGAAGTCCAGACGTGAAGATAGCTGGTAGAGCAGTTCTACCTGCTACAGCCATCCTCACCTTGCCGGCCTGCATGTTGCTTCTTCACGCATCTTTTAAAGGATCCCAGGTTGTAATTCCATTTACGGATAGTGCGATAAAGAACGGAAGTCACCAAATTAGGTGACAACGTAGGCCAGCGCGCGTGGTCCTCTGAAGGAAAGGGGAAGGTCGAATAAGAGAGAATAACTCCTAAGAATACTCGTCGTGCTACAGACGATAGAACGCGCATATTGACGCCACGTCACTGCGTAATTGAAAAGTCTCGATGTAACCTATCCAAAGCTTTGAGCAAGTACTTGACGGAGCCATCCCAGAGGTGCGAGTAATATTCCACACAAGCCCGCACCTGCGTCTTATACATCAAACACTCGGGCGGGAAAAAACGCCGCACCTTGTTCAAAACTTCGAGTTTGCGTCAGGCCGTTTATACCACGCTTTCGATGTAATTCTTTGGATTTAAGCAAAAAAATTTATTAACTGACTAAAAATTTACTGTCTCTGGATCTTCGATGCTTCGGGAGGCATGTTAAGCCGTTGGTCCTAGCTGCATCTACAGTTGTAAGTTATCGGCACTAGGCGGGCGCTGTCTGTTATGCCTCGTACACTCTATCCATCCATTTAAAGCCTGGGTTCCGAACCTGGGGGTAATTAACCCTCCGGGGGTAAATCAGCCAAACTTCGGGGGTAACAAAGAACCAAATTATTCGGTCAAATCTAAATAATAAGAAAATACTATATAATAATACTACTAAATAGAGCATGCGCTCCTTCTTGCCAGCGATGATGACATTATTAGAGACGAAGATGTAGCGGCCAAATTGGAATTTCTTGGACTGATGATAACATTTTAAAGTCGGGGTAAAATCTGTTTTCCGAAAAGGTTACAGGGGTAGCCATATTGGAAAGGTTAGGAAACACTGATTTCAAGGGAAGGTATGTGCACCAGCAGTAGAGTTATTAGAAGGCAGATGATGATTCGTAATCTTCTTATATTCCCCGTCAGGCGTAACCGCGTGCATAGACTTCTGCGCGCACGCACACCGAGACCTTCACAATATGAACAACGGGTGCACGGCGGTGGTGACGCTGGCGAGACATCGTGCGCTGGCGCCCGCTACAGACGAACAGTTGCACGTACTGCCGCTATACGTACTCGATACTACGGATGAATACGGCTCGCGGGACGCGCAGGATGAGAAGGTCAAGAGCGGCGCGCTGGAAGTGCTGGACAAGTGAGTGGTGACGTATTTGAGTTCCGATATTCTTGTTGCTTTATGAGTAAAGAAAACTGTTTTTTACTAGAAAAATAGCAACTCTGTACTGGTAAACTTCTTGAACAAAACCACAGATCTTAGGTTAAAATAAATAAACATGTGCAATAGACGTTTTTAGGGTTCAGTAGTCCTTACCTGTCCTGACCGAGGGGTCACGCCCCCCCCCCTCTCCCCTCTCAAAGCTAAACTATTGGATTAATGATAATTAACTTCTTAAGCAAAACCACAGACCTTAGATTAAAACAAATGTTTTAATCTAAGCCTCAGACAAATAAACATGCGCAATAGACGTTTTTAGGGTTCAGTAGTCCTTACCTGTCCAGACCGAGAGGTCAGGGAGACCCCACTCCAAAAGCTAAACTATTGGACTATATTCATGAACTTTTAAGGAAAATTATATCGGTTAAGATAGACTTGTTGGTTTAAGAGAGAAATAGTCGTTTAACTTTGGTTAAATAAATTTCGTACCTGTTAAAAAATCCTTACAAGAAAACATTAAAAGTAACATAAATGAAGTTATTGTAGCGTTAAAACCTTGCATTGAAAAACAAAATTAAAAAATCTATTTAAATTTTGTTTTTCTTAATTTCCGATACAGATAATAAAGACTACTGCTCAAATATATTGTGGTAATGACAGACAACTACGAACCCTACATAGCGCGTGGCACGACACGCAGTTGGCCAGTTTCGTATATACAATTGCTACTGCGCAGGCTTCCTTGAATATGGTCGTTGTTCAAGAAGTTTGCCGGGGTATATAAATCAGTCTCGATTTCCGGGCGAATACAAGAGGCTAAATGTATGGATTACGAACAACGCCAATAAGTTGGTTGTCTCGCCGAAACCTAGGCCAACTTGAATGTTTTCTAGTAAAAAAAATACCATAAATATATAAAAATCCGAAATATAATGAAATTTCGAAACTGTAGGGCTATTTATAAGTTCAGTCATAATAAACACACTGTCTCCATTGCATGGTCTTTAAGCAACTGTTTGACCAAACCAATATCATCCCTATTTGAGGCCCCACCACTTTAAACCACCTGTTGGCAAAAGTAGTCTAAGTAAATACTTATTAAAAGAAATCGTTATTGAGACATTCGGTGGATAAAAATGTCCAATCATCCATTTGTGTGATTGAGCAAATTCACTACTAACCTAAAATTACAGTGTTGGATTGCTAACTTATCTCCTATAGTCAACTGTTGATTGACTCTTACTATTTGTACAAGTAACTATAGCGAATGAATGAATTCTTTCTCACCTACTCCATTTTATAAACAAAACACTAGTACAAAATATTAACATTCCACTCGTTCTGTTAATTTCAGATTCCCGATGGAAGTTAGAGTGCGTTCAGTGCCTCTGCAGCCATGCAGGCGACACGGCAAAAAGCGGAAGGAGGAAGATACGACAGATTCATCGAATTCGGCCACTAACACTCCTCAACAAAGTCCTGGCGGCAACCTTAAGAAACCGCAACAATGCTCCACGCCGACTCCTAGAACGCCCCAACCTACGGACAACAGGAATAATGCAAGCCCAAGAAGCCAGAGCAGTGCCTCGCCAAGATCTCAAACCCCTCTCAACCACTCTAATCCTTCCGCCTTTGCCAACAACGGCCACTACAATTCTGCTTTCATCAATCCAAACATGCATCCCCAAAACCCTGCGCTTATTAATTCCAACCTCAGCAACCCAGCTCTACTAGACATGGCCACCATGATAGACAACTTCACCGACGCACAGTTGCAGAGCAATCAAATCTCTAGCACCGTCCTAGATTCGCCTTATAACCCTTACGACCAAAGCTACAATCTACACCATCAAAATTCACTTTACAATCCGAACAATGTTCCTCCATTAGTAGAAGGAAACCCATGTCAGAATACGAATCCCAATCAACTTCCCAGTTTTTCGAGTGGATTACAAAAACGAGATCAACAGTTCAGCGATCAAAATGTCGGTCAAATACCTGCCACTCCTCAAAATCATTGGCCTGATTTCGCAAACGCAGAATTATTCAATAGCGTAGTTAAAGAAGATCCAGATTCTACCACAGCTCATTTGAATGTTCCTCCCAATTATAGTCCAGACTCAAACAGGAGTGAAACAAATTCTGACCAAATTCCAATAAAAAAATCTACTGAAATAGACAAACAAGCCGTTACCCCAGGTAACATGACTCATAAATTGCCTGAATTCGATATGCCAAATTCGCCAAGACTAACAGAAATATCTCAGAATTTGCAAACTAAACCAGAATCACCAGCTCCATCGCAAAATGCAGAATTAAAATCCCCTAACAATGAACCTATAAACGCGGTGGAGGGTCGGAAAAGCGTGTGGAAATCTCCGGAATCCAAGAATTGGGACTCTACGAAAGCAAAGGAACAATTGGTATCTGAAAATGAAAATAGTTTATTTAGAGTCCCAAAGGCCAGACCACCCTCGCGATGCCATAGCATTCCCGCAGAAGGTGTAGAGAACTCGACCTTCTTAAAACCTTATCCGCCCTCAGAGAGACCACATTTGAGCCAAGGATATGAACACAGAAGTCCGTATGATAATAATAGAATACCAAACAATACAACGCCACAAACAGGATCTGCTCAAACTCAAAATTTTACAATCAAACATGACGATCAGAACATGTCGTCTGCAAATAAACCAACCCACGAATTCACAGGAAATAATTTTCATCCAGTCTCTCAAAATGCTTATGGGAACCAAACGTCCGTACAAAGTTACGGTAATTATCCACAAATGCCTAATACATATCCGTTTCCACCAAATCCTTACGGGCACTTTAATCCTTATGAAAATTCATATAACGAGTACAATAGTTTAGCTTATTACAACGCGGAAAAATACAAAAGGGAAGAACTTTTGAGGAATTCTCATTGTTACAGTTCTTATGGATACCAGTACGGTCCGAATTTTGCGCCAAATTTTTATCAGAACCAGAGTCCGAACTGGTGTCAATCTTCTCCAAATTGGTGCTTATATCCGCCGCCGTTCTCTATTCCATATCCGCCGGAGCCGCCTAAGGCGGAGCCGATAGGGGAAGTCACCGAATTCACTGACAATTTAGAATGCTTCAAAGATAGCCAAATGGGGGGAGTGGCCATCGCTTTAGGTCACGGGAGCGTGCTCTTCGAATGCGCGAAACACGAGATGCACTCGACGACGGCCGTGAAGAACCCGAACCGGGTGAATCCGACAAGGATCTCCCTGGTGTTCTACCAGCATCGTAATTTGAACCGGCCAAAGCACGGATTGGAGGAGTGGGAGGAAAAGATGAGATTAAAGAAGCTCGGGTTGAATCCGCCGACGCCGGGCACGCCCACTCCCAATACGTCGACGGCGTCGCCCGCGACCACGCCCGGCCCGGAACAGCGGCCAGCCGGCGGAGAGCCTGGAGTAGGGGGTGGATTCAAGTCGTTGGCGGCGCTGGTGCAAGCCACAGAGACGGCGCGGCGGAAGCGCCAAGTGTTGCTGCGGGCGGAGACACAAACCACGACGTCGTGGACGACGTTATTCCCCATGCACCCGTGCACGGTGACGGGCCCCTACCAGGAGTCGGCCACCTGACGCCGCCCGCGTGCGGGGCCGACGCTGGCCACGTAAGCTCTATGTTGCCTTTACCGTAGGACGTCGGGTACGCTTCCCGACTTTTGTAGTTCCTGGATTTTTTCACTCCTCGAGTGTCCTCTCGAGCGAGGCGGAATTGACTACCGTTTACCGAAGTATTTTTTAAAAATCGAGTCAGTTTTCCAATCAAAGATGTATGTTTTAAGTTCGATAGTGCTTATCGCGTTTCGACTAGTCTTACGTTAGTATCGATCGTGTATCGTCCGAGTGACAGTTGTCGTGTATGTTTGTTTTTTTTTCTGTATATTCTTGTCGTAATAGTTTAGTTTCGCTGGCGTCTTTCCGACCGTTTGCGCCGATGTTAGTTTTATAATTTTACGTTCTCGGCTGCATAAAGTGACGTTGGTATGTTCTTGTCTGCATATTTTGTCGGTGTTTTCTAATTAAGCGCATATTGAAAGTTATGCGATGCAATGATCTCATAAACTACTAACCCTATGTATAACCGATCAGAACAAAAGTACAAAACATCACAGAGGAGGGGTGGGGCGCGAGGGATGCGGACACATTCGACGACGTGTTTATCGATATTTTTGTACCTTTGTCTGTATTAGTATTAGTTGACTTATTTTATAAAGTTGTATTTTTACGATTATTATTACCATTCCTTTGCCTTGGTCTACATTTATTGTTTTGGCATATTTCAATAAGTTAATCAAATAATGGCGTCGTAGCCTTTTTGTATTTTATACATTAAAGACATGAGTGCTTTTCTATTAGGTTAAGACGTGTGTATTTTTAACTTTTTAGAATATTTAACTTATTTATATAAATTGTATTACGTGAACCATTATGAAATCATTTTCTTTGTAATAATTTAGTATTACGGTAGACGTTAATATTTAATATATTTGCTTTACGGTTCGCCATTAAATTATTGCAGTTGTTTTGTGCATGTTTCAAAAGCCTTCTTTACTTTACTCGAGTGCCTGCATTTTGGCTGATACCATTGATGATATTATCGTTAGGTGATCTGATTTTCTAAACTCAACCAAAAATGTGACCTTATTGTTTGATTCAGTGTATTACGATCATTAAATTAGTGATGATAAATTTTATGAATTAGAAACAATAAAAGATGAATAATACATACATTTATATAAGAATAGGATATGTGCAAAGAAAAAAACAATTTTTCAGGCGCTTGAAAAGATATAAAGTAGGCATATTATTGAAAATGAATGAAAACATACTGATAAATAGTTATTAATATATAATTAGCGTAAGAGAAAAGTTTGTTTTAAAGATTAAACTATTCATATAGTTTATATTTTTTACGTGTATGTATTTATTGAATGGTAAATTTATTGGGACGAACGTGAAAATTATTTATAAGTAATAAAGTTTTGAGAACAAAACTTATAAAAACTAAGCAATAATAGACATGGGGTCTATGTACATTGTAATAATGTAGGAATGAAAAAGAATATAATTAACGAATGGTGCGATTTCTTGTCGGTCTTATGGGAGAGTTTGACGTTTGGATTCTTAACGAAATTTGCCTAAAATTGTATTTGATTATTATTTCGTGTAAAACCATTGGTAAAATGCCCTAATGTTCTTGCCATTATACTAGTTGCCAATGTCGACTCATCATGAATGCATTGTAGGACAAGACATATCAAATACAATCACCAAAATAATAAATTAATGTAAAAATTAAAATAAACAATAACTAAATTCAAATTGATATTTCACAGGCAAATCGTATCGGCATTAAATACGTTGTTGACACCAAATTGTAATGTTTCGTAGATTAAAAATAAAATAACATGGGTGTTTACCTATAAGAGAATGTATCATTTAGGTCACACTAGAAACCTGTGATATAACCTATAAACTCACGTATGCATGACTGTATGTTTGTCTATCTTCAGTGTGTTGTGAGAGCGCAGCGTATGCCATGAAACCAAATAATATATTTAAACAGTATTGTCAGTACTCCGAGTGTAAGGTTCGCATTTCACTACCGTTTTCTTCAAATGGGAATGATAAATCTTATAACCGCCAACGCTCCGCCACCGGCATATAAAATGAAACATGTTTTCTCCCAAACGTTTTTAATTTTATTTCCTTTGAAATGTAAAACTTACACCCGGGGCTCGTGTTGTAACCAAAAATTGTGAATTATGTTTGTATAATGTATCGTCTTCATATGATGGGATATTACCAATGTGAAAGTTTTGTGAGTCAAAAAAATGCGACTGCGTCGCTTTGAGTTGCGACGATCTTATTGTATAACAATATCTTTAATTGTCTTCTGCCAAAACAAAAGAGTAATCGAATGTGTCATGTAAATAGAACTACCATTATTTATTAATACAATAATTTAAAAAGAATATTTGTTTTCATTTGTATTTATAGCTACCTATTTCCTACCGAAATTAATGACGTTATTGGCGTGACAGTTTAGTCCAGGGGCGGGCAAAGTACTTATAGACTTGGTTACCTATAGCCCAAGGGCCGATTCCAACCCGACAACAAGTTGAGAAATAAGTTTTGATAACCACATCGACACAATAGAGGATTTAAATTGTAAAAACTTCTGGACACATCTGTTGGCCCACTTAGGTTCGTATTACAGAATGACAACTAAGTGTTAATCTTTACTTGAGTACATAGATATATAGATAGTACGGTATGGATGCACAATTTGCTGAATAAAACTGATGCTCAATAAAAGTCTTCCGAAGGTAGCTCGACAAAATAAATAAAATCATAATCGTCTAGAATCAAATAAATCAGGGCATCTGCAACGTTGAAATTTATTTTATTTGAGTTTATTACCTTAGATATCACTCTTTAAGAGGGTACTATTTAAGTTTGTATGAGAAACCAAATTTTCCACTCAAACGAAGTCGCAGGCATCCACTAGTTTAAACTAAAAGAAAGTAGACGACGGTAGAGTACACAATAACGCTATATTTTGATTCAATATTATTTGAGTAAGCACTTAAGTAGTTATTGGTTATGTTCAGTTGAATCTTTACTTTCTCTTAATTTTATACTAAGCGTTAGTTTATATTTTTCAAAATAAGATTTTTGACTTGAAGTCACACTACGCCAAAAATCTCACATGAACCGCATGAACAGGTTAGGAGTATTTATTGTCTGGCCCTGTTCAAGGCGTAAGGAGGGCCCTGTTCATTACAGCGCTCTAGGGCTCGTTGAAATGAACAGGGAGGAGTCCCAGACAGGGTTGCCAGGTCTCCCGATTTTATAGGAGATCTCTTGTTTTTCTCAAAGGACATCGACGAAATCGGCCCTAGCATGCCCAAAAGAATGTCCTTCACTATTATCTTTCTATTATTTTTTTAACATATTAGCAATTAATCATAGTAAACGGACAATCTGTTTAAAAAAATAAAGTTCTGTTGTTCTGACTACAGTCTATTCATCCAACTTAGCACTTCTTTTTATTGAAAAAACAGCATTAAAAATCAACTGATAACTGGATTCAAAAGGTTTCAGTCTATAATAACGATTTATTTTAATAGTTTATTGGCTTCGTTAATATTTTATTATTAAATGGGTGATTCTGTTAAAAAGTTGTGCCAAGATTGTTTACCTTAATAAATGCATTAGAGGCGACCATAGGTATTTATCAAAAGAAAAATAGAGATACCTTAGTTAATAATACTTATTACTAGTATTATATTTATAAAAAGATTATTTCTGAAATTATGTAAAGATAGTTTATACTCCCATCCCATGTTATATCTGTTTATTTTTATGAAAATCATAACATACACATACCCAATTACCGATAGTAAAATATAGAAACAGGTAAATGGAAAGACTGAACATTTCATTTGAAAAGAAATCTATTATTACTACAGGTAAGGTATATGTATCGTAGGTGCCAACTGACAACACTCATTAATCAATATGAATATAAGCATTTATTATTTTTATTTTTAATTGCATTTTATGTTCATTTAATGCATATTATTTAAGTGCTTACATAGAGGTAAACAATTCAGAATATATAAAGTATACATCTTTTACGATTAAGTATAATAATTATAACCTCAAAATCAAATATATTCGGTAGTAGGCCACGGTTCCTCAAGTTGTCCGTATCTCAACAAATGCCTAATTAGAGTTTATGAATGATTCCGAACACAACTAGCATTTTCTCATTGCTGGGCGTTCTAGGGCATTCAATGTATGGGGAACGAGCAATGTCCTTTCTCCTGTGCCTCACTTAAAATATGATTTTCTTTTTTAAATTTCGTGAAAGGTAACTTAAAATGCGTCACTCGAGTCACCTGTGCTACGCTTTTCCGATGTCACCATTAAGAATGTTATCTTAGTCATTAATACAATATAATTTCAAGGGCGGAAGAAGCTATAGAAACTCATTGTTGCTGGATTATATTTGATTTATCTATTCTAGGGGAGGAGGAGGCAAATCGGAAAAAAAATGCCCCTGCATCTTCTGTTTTTCCTTGCAGGTCTTTCCACACATCTACTGTTTTTTTCCTGTAACGCCTCCTGATTTTTGAAAATTGGACCTGGCAACATTGGTCCCAGATAACTTCTTCTCGCTCCCCCAGCGGTTGAGGGATACGTAAGGCATTTTCCAGACATTAAAAAAAGGGGCATGATGTCGTACCTTAAAGTGGGTAGGGGACGCTGCGAAGGGCGGCACGCCCCTGCTTGTAATTACCACTGGTATGTTAAATTCGCGTCGCCAGAGTTTATTTATTTAAACTTTATTGCAAAATAACAAAGCAAATGGCGGACATAATGCCATAGGGCATTCTCTACCAGTCGACCATTTAGAGCGTTAGAAAAAAACTAATATGACTGGGGCGCAATAAAAACAAATTTAAGACAAACCAAGGATACAAATACTCCTAACAGAATACACAAATATTATACACAGAGTTGTATTTAACTTAAATTCATTTCTGGCGACGCGACGGCCTGGTTTTTAAGCATGTCTGATTTAATTATTATAATTAAGAATATTAGATACAGTTAAATATAGTAAAACAATAAAAATATTTTTCATGTCATTTTATTATTAGTAAAAATATATAAAATTTAGGTACATTTAATAATAACAAAAAACGTTATGCTTCTTTAGTATTTATAAAGTTATTAAAATATCATTTCATTCAATATTTGTATTAAAATATTTCGGTACATATATGTAAATAGTTCATATCAAAATTCCATAAAATCCTTTTAATATGTAGTTATATCACTGAGCATACATTTTGTGTTCTTAGAAAAAATGTCTTCATTCTAACTTAATAATATAGAGTGGAACATAAACTTTTTGAGGATCAATACAGTGATCGTGAAGGAAAAATGTGTTATGCGATCACGATTGCATTGAAAACGGCGCATTACCTACATATTGAATTGAAATATTTTATCACAAACGATCTACAAAATATCTGAAAAACTAGGGTACAATCGCAAACCAGATTAATATAGTTATCATATCACTTACTTTGTATATTTACAAAAATCAATACATTAGCTACTAAAGACTGGAATGTATCATTTTACTTACGGAAATTAAACACAAATAAGTACAAACATATGTATACAAGTATAGCCTCATTTTCATAGAACGATAAAAAAATATATAAGGTGGAGGTGCGACCTTGCAGAAAACGGAAGACTGCAAAAAATTAGTCAAACAACAAATATTTAATCTAATAATACATAGTACACAACGGCACTGCAGTTTTGTTTTCGCTTAGAGCTATTGTATCCTGTTTATATGTAAATTTTGTCTAAATTAAACATTTCACTAGTCAACAGCAAAGATAAATGTTTAAAATTATCTCTTCACCTTTCCGTAATTGGTATAAGTTCATAAATTTATAAAAAACATTGTTAACAAAGATAACATCTACTGCAACATTTTGCTGTTTTGAATTATTTTTTTGTAGAAAGATAATACCTACATCTACATATGAAAAGTGTATACCTACCTTACTTACAAGTAATTGTTCGTACGGTAAGTCTTCTGTATCAAGAGCTCGCGTCGTGTGAAGAGTTTGAAGAGACCTGTGTAACAAAAAACGAGTGTGCTTATGACCGTATGACTGAAGTGTGTGTATATACAATATATACATGTGTGTACAAATACATATTTCATTTACTAGCTATTAGAGAATGAGAGAAAGAAAATGTGCGCGAGCACTGCTTCCTCTTGCTTATATCCCTCACTCAACTCCCGTTCGCCTCGCCCGAACAGACTTTTCGTAACTCGTAACGCATTCGCCAGCTTTAGCCAAGTTAAGCGTGCGTAAAGAAGTTTCACTTCAAAAATTGCTGTTTTAGCCTGAACTTTTTATTAAAACGGTATTTCATCACTTTTACACTAAAACCTGTGTAAACTTAAGATAAGTGGACACATTGCCATCGGTTTATGATTTATTACTATATTCACCTGACTTTCCCCTTTCTTGATTCGCTTGATCTGAGACAGTTTCTTTATGGAAATCCGAAACATCAGAGGCATTTTGAAAACTAACAGAGAATGTATCACCAACTCCCGGGCTTGGTTCTCCTGAGGATTCCTGTAATGGAGTTAGTATCTTCCTATTGGATGTCGTTTCTTTAGAGAAACCAAGCAACGTCTATTTATTTAGGAAAACCAACCAATCGTTAGCACCCACCAATCCGCACTGGGCCCGCGTGGTGGGTCATGGCCCAATCTCCCTATTCCATCCATAGGGAAGGCCTGTGCCCCAGCAGTGGGCACATTAATAGGCTGATGATGATGATGATGAACCAATCGTTGCCGATCGGGAAGAGATGCAGCATGTCTCGCTCGCATCTTATATCTGTATGCAGAGTCTCACCGCTAGAGGTCGTGCCGCATATCACCGATGATGTTGGCTCGGTCTCCCGCGTCTCCTACTAGGTAACGGTTTTTTTTTTGAGTGTGTATGCTGTTGATCGCAGATGACCTTTACAGCGTCACTGGGTTTGGGGACGGCGAAATCATAAGGGGATCTCAAGCCGAGAATTGACGAGTGCTTCTAGAGGTATTCCAGGTGGACGGCATCTCCCCACGGGGTAGTCTCTTCTCCGTCTGGAGCCTCTAGACCACTCGAAGATGGGAAGAATATATATGTGTTTATCTAAGGTATGTATGCAATAAGGGAGGAGCTCGATGGCGCAAGTGGTTAGCGCGTTCGGCTGCGATCTTTGAACTTAAGCAACTTTCGCAGTGGTCGGTCATTGGATGGGTGATCAAAAATTACTATCTCGAGCTCCTCCGTGCTTCGGAAGGCACGTTAAGCCGTTGGTCGTGGCTGCATCTGCAGTCGTTAGCACCCACCAATCCGCACTGGGCCCGCGTGCTGGATCATGGCCCAATCTCCCTATTCCATCCATAAGGAAGGCCTGTGCCCCAGCAGTGGGGACATTAATAGGCTAATGATGATGTATGCAATGTCTTACCGCTAGAGATCGTGCCGCATGGCGCCGATGATATTGGCGAGCGCCGCACGCGCATCTCCTACAGGGAAGCGGTGTAACACGTGTCGTGCCGCGTCTACGTGCTGCCGCTGCAGTTGTTGAGTGTGGGCGATGCCGGTGCCCTCTACCACGGCGCGGTATAACTGACGACAGAACAAAGCTAATTTTTTCCCTATATATATATTTTTTTTAAATATTTCCAACACACACCTTAGCCTAGCCCCAAAGTAAGCACTGTAAGGCTTGTGTTTTCCGGATGCTAGGGTAACGGATAGAATACATATACTGTACATATATAAGTATATTTTTATTTAGAAATACATAAGAAACATCCATGACTGAAGTACAAATGCTCGTATTCATCACACAAACATCTGCCCCCACCGGGATTCGGCGACACCATGAAACCCGGCGTACAAACCACTCGACCACGGAGGTCGTCAATATTAAAGAAAATAAGCGTGGGGTATTTGAATACCTTCGGAGATCAGTAATAACATTAGAAAATAACAAAATGAAATCATAAACTATAGCAATAGCCAAAGTAATCCCGATAGATGGTAGGCCCGTGGTTATGTGATCGTGTTCATGTACCATTAAAGCTTATTTATTTCGAATCTAGGTATTGTTGAAGCCCTCAGTAATATCTTAATGTTTATTGCGAATGATTTAGTTCTACTAAGCTTTACTGCTGTTTTTTCAAATAAGTACAAACTTTATCAAACAAAAGGCTTTTTTGTAATTAGGAGGGTATTCCAAGCTTTAAAAGCCCGCAAATTAAAAATTGCATTTTAAAAAGATGCCAAAAAAGACAAGACAAAACAAATAATAGATCACAAAAGTCACAGTCTCATGCAATTCCACTTTTATTACCCTAAGAGATTTAAATCCAACATTCACAAAATACTAATAGCGTGATAGTCGACATATAAAACTCCGGCTTCGCTTGAAGAGTGAACGCTTCCAGGTCTAGGAATGCTTACCACTCGAACGTCAAGTAACAACCGAACAAATAACCTTGAGAAACTTATAAAGTATCTACTTACAGCGTGATAGTCGATATCTTGCACGCTGCGTCGACCAGCCTCTATGTATTTATAAAGCTCCGGCTACGCTGCAGAGTGAGTGCTACCAAACAAATAGGTAACCGAGTAAATAACCTTGAAGAATATATTTAAAGGACTCACAGCATGATAGTCGATATCTTGCACGCTGCGTCGACCAGCCTCTATGTATTTATAAAGCTCCGGTTACGCTGCAGAGTGAGTGCTATCAAACTACTAGGTTACCGAATAAATAACCTTGAAGAATATATTTAAAGGACTCACAGCATGATAGTCGATATCTTGCACGCTGCGTCGACCAGCCTCTATGTATTTATAAAGCTCGGGCTTCGCTTGCAGAGTGAATGCCATCGGAGCGCCCACTAGCGAGAAGCTGGCCGGTTCGGGGCCCGTGAACGCTTCCAGGTCAAGAAATGCTTGCCACGCGAGCGCCAAGTGGCAGCCAAACAAATAACCCTGGGAACCAGCAAAAACTCTTTAGTACTCGAACATTAAAGCTGGCTATCTAGCAGTTAACGCTTTGATAAATATTTAAAAAACATCATCATCACCATCCTATTAATTTCCCCACTGCTGTAACACATGATGCGGTTTGGGAATAAAACATATTTTGATTAACAAATAAAGCTTATGTTGTCATCCTTTAGACTACAGCCCTTTAGATGTTTTTTTTTTTTTTTTATAGATAGATCCGACAAATGACTCCACCCCACCTGATGTTAAGTGAAGGTGAAGTCCAGACGCGAAGATAGCTGATACAGCAGTTCTAACTGCCACACCAGCCATCCTCACCCTGCCGGCCTGCAAGTTGCTTCTTCACGCCTCTTTTAAAGGATCCCAGGTTGTAAGAGGGAGGGAACACGTGAGCGGGCAGAGCATTCCATTTACGGATAGTACGACAAAGAAGTGAGTCACCAAATTTCTTTGTACGAGTTGGAATTGTAGCCACAGTTAGACGGTGACAACGTAAGCCAGCGCGCGTGGTCCTCTGAAGGAAAGGGGAAGGTGGAATAAGAGAGAATAACTCCTCAGAACACTCGCCGTGGTACAGGCGATAGAACGCGCTTAGTGATGCCACGTCACGGCGTAATTGAAGAGGCTCGAGGTGTTTAGTCACCTCCTCATCGCCTATGATGCGGATTGCGCGCCGCTGTAACCTATCCAAAGCATCGAGCAAGTACTTAGCGGAGCCATCCCAGAGGTGCGAGCAATATTCCACGCAAGACCGCACCTGCGTCTTATACAACAAGCACAGTTGCTCGGGCGTGAAAAAACGCCGCACCTTGTTCAGGACTCCGAGTTTGCGTGAGGCTGTTTTTATCACACTTTCGATGTAATTCTTTGGATTTAAGTCACAGCGAATCTCCATACCGAGCATGGTGATACTGCTCTCTAGCTCCAGTGTTGTGCCCTGAAGAGAAGGACATAAAAGGAATGGCGATGTTTTTGCCGTGAAAGCACAGACCTTTTTTTAAAGACCTGGGTTTTCTTAGCATTGAACTCAACCAAGTTCTTGGTACCCCATACAGAAATGTGGTCCAAAGCCTGATTGAGCTCAATGACAAGATTCTCCCGTTTCTCCTTGGTTACCGCCTGCCCAGCCGCTGCTTGTCCGAGATACCCCGCATGCACTGTACTATCGTCTGCATAGCAATGAATATTCCCAAGAGGAATTAAGTCATTGATATGCAGCAGAAAGAGAGTGGGGGATAGGACGGAGCCCTGGGGAACGCCGGCATTCACTGACATGAACCGCGAACTGCTACCATCCGTAAGGACACGAATTCTACGCTCATGCAGGAAGTCAGCTACCCAAGAACAGAACTGGGCCGGCAGACCGTATGCCGGAAGCTTGGAGAGAAGACTTTTGTGCCAGACCCTGTCGAATGCCTTGGCAATGTCAAGGCTAATAGCCAACGACTCGCCTCGCTTGTCGATAGCCTCACCCCAGATATGAGTCAAGTACGCTAGAAGATCACCCGTCGATCGTTTCGGTCTAAAACCATATTGACGATCATTGATCAGGGAGTGATCCTCTAGGTAGCGGGTCAGATGGTTGTTAAGGACCTTTTCTAGGACTTTACATAATACTGAGGTGACTGCTATTGGCCGGTAGTTAGTCGGGTCTGAGCGATCCCCTTTTTTTGGTACCGGTTGCACGTTAGCATCTCTCCAAGCTTCCGGCACACGCCCCAAAGAATACGAGCACTGGTACAAACGCGTGAGCGCGGGAGACAACTCCGCTGCACATTTTTTCAGTACTACTGCTGGGATGCCATCGGGTCCACTAGCTTTCCGGACGTCGAGTGATTGCAATTCGGCACGAACCTCACGCTGCCTGATTTTGATATCCGGCATCGTTGTGCCACAATGAGGTAATGATGGTGGCGGTGCATTGCAATCATCGATTCGGGAGTTAGCCGCAAAGAGTTTTGCCAGTAAATCGGCTTTCTCCTGCGGCTTATGAGCTAGTGTTCCGTCTGGGCATCTCAGAGGTGGCAGCGAGGGCTGGCAGAAGTTCTTTTGCACGGCCTTGGCCTAACGCCAATAGCTACGGGAGCCCGTAGGATGCGTTATAAGTTCGTGACCAACACGTGCTACGCGCTGGGCATCCGCTCTGATGGAAGCCTTCTTACAGGCCTTGGAAGCAATATTGTAGGCTGCTTTTAGTAAATCGACCCCGGGATCCTTAATAGCGCGGCCTCTGATCCAAGCACGATATGCCGCTTGCTTACGCGAAGCAGCTTCAGCACAGTCGTGATTGAACCAGAGGTTACGTGTGCCCTTACTGATGAGATTGGAATGAGGAATATAGTATTCCATACCCATTACAATATCCTCAGTAATAGCAACGGCGCTGGCTGATAGGTCCTTGTCACTGAAGCAGCGCTGCTTCCAAGGGACGGACGCAAAGTAGTCACGCATACCGTCCCAATCTGCCGACCCATAATGCCAAATCCGGCGTTTTACCACCGTTGGACGTGGAGGCTTGGCCTGTGTCGCTTTGGCAGATATCAGGCAGTGATCTGAAGAGCCCAGGGGGGCTCCTACCACAACCTGATAGCCCTGTGGATGGGTCGTGAGCAGAAGGTCCAGCAATGAAGGCGCTTGACTTGAAACATCTGGAATTCTGGTGGGCTGATCGACCAGTTGTTTCAAGTCCTGCGTGAGAGCGAACGCGTGAGCAGAGATCCCTGCATGGTAAGTTTTCGAGGAACTTAACCACAAATTGTGGTGAGCATTAAAGTCCCCCAAAAACACCAATTCTGCATTGGGAAATTGCTCCTGCGCGTCATCTGCTGCCCGACTAAGATGTTCGAAAAGTCGAGTTGTCTCAACATCGCCAGTGTGGGATCTGTAGAGGCACACGTAGACTCTGGCCTGGGGACCAGAATCGACGTGTACCCCCAACATGGAGAAGGAGGGATCTTCCAAGCAGCGAAGACGGCGACAACAAACATCCGCCCGAACATACAGGCATACACCGGCTTTCGCTTTGAAGGACTCTTCAAGCACGTAGCCGGGATAATTAAGGTAGCCTGTGTCAGCAGGCGGAAGTATTTGTGTCTCCGTCAGGAACAACAATGCTGGCCGTGCTCTCTCAAGATGGTGGTGGACAGCATTGAGGTTAGAGTGGAGTCCGCGTATGTTGCAGAACTCGACCTCAAACAGCGTTGAAGGCGTGGGGGTGTGCACCGCTGTACGTCCAAACTTTGTTTTGAGAGCTGCCATTATGAAAGTGATAAAGAGACGTGAAACGAGTGGACGTTGTCGCGACAAGACCGGGCAAATTAGGGAGGCCTGTTTCCCCGAATAATTGCCTGCAGAGGATATACGCCGACCCGCCGGACGGAAGGGCCCCCGCACCCCCCCGGAAGTGGCCGCCGGGACCCCACGCCCCGGTCACCAACCGGCACGACGGTCCACCCTGAGATTATGCGTGACATGATGGGGCAGCCTCGCGAACTGGTTAGGAACGCTCGGGCCCCTGTACTGTGCCACGGGCGGCCAGCGGGACAACCGTTTCTACGGGTCTCCCTGGCCGGCGGGTCGATGCAGTCCTCCCGGTATCGGTTCGACGGATGCCTCGCCCTGGACCGAATCCGTCGCGACAACCTACACTCGAGCCCTGGTTGTACGCTGGCTGACCCCGAAACGCGCGAGAAGCACTTCACGGGTTTTTCACCATGCGCACGGTGGTAACAATCCAGGCGGGTGTTAGGCACCCTACCACCAGCAGAGCGGATGGAAGCTCCGATATCCCTTAGTCGCCTCTTACGACACCCACGGGAAGAGAAGGGGCGGTGAGTTGTATTCTTTCTCCGTCACCGCACGGATAACGCTAAATAACTTTTCAGATCAGAAAATAAAGCTCCTAAATAATTTTTGAAGTTATACTTCTTTAGGCGCGTTATGAAAAATTGATGAGAGTGAAATTTTAAGATGCGCGCGCATCACTGTAACACAAAATTTTAATGCGTTACTTTTGTGTTTACCGCACATTAAGAAAATCTACCAACAAAATAGAAATAGAATCTCTATTTAGTGGGTGCTAACGACTGCATTGACTGTGAAGGACTATCAAAAGTATTTATTAATCTGGAACAACGGAACCAAAGCGCGATTCAGGAGACTACAGCGCCATCTCTTGACCATTGGTGTAGTAGAACCAAAAACCACATCTTTATTTTTTGTAATAAAGTAACAAAAAGTATTTATTAATCTGGAACAACGGAACCAAAGCGCGATTCAGGAGACTACAGCGCCATCTCTTGACCATTGGTGTAGTAGAACCAAAAACCACATCTTTATTTTTTGTAATAAAGTAACAGTTATAGGTATTCATATTTATAATATTTATCCACATGTTTCTAGTTTGTATAATCGGAATACGTGTTTGAGTTTCATACAAGTGCAAATCACATATGTTCTAATAAATTATATTCAGTAGCGATTTTAATTGAATATTTTGATTATTTATTTATTTTTTCAAATTAAAACTGAACTTTATTGACTTCGTCCTTTTCCAGACTGTTTATTAATTTATTGTAATTAATTATTTGCATGCATTTAAAAACTAATTTTAAACGATGCCAAAGAAGGATAACTTCTCACGCGCCTACATAAGTACACGCACCCATTTTTTTTAATTTATTTTATTAAAAACCTTTTTAGGTTAAAAAATCTTTCCAGCACACAAATTAAAAGTCTATCCATTAACGCAGAAGATAATTAAGAAAACTTCTTCTTAAACTTATATATAATAGGTACTTAACTTAAATTATTTAACTTAACTTTATGATGAGAGACAACTGTGCTCAAAAGGTCGTTGCTTTCCATGGGTGACCTACGGCCAGTAATGGAAGGAACTCATTCTGTCTGTTTCTGTATCTGTATTGTAGGAATAATCCCTTGTTGTGGATTACCTCTGTCATTTTCTGAGTAAACCTATGAAAAGAGACGTAACAGCAGGAATCACTAAAAGTATATAAAATTTGGACGGTTTCCAAACCATTATAATATTCTTTAATTTATAATGATTGCTTAGTTCAAGCCCGAATATTAAGAACATAGTGCAAAATGGTTCATTAGAGAGTTCGAATTAACTTCAAGTCTCTTGCGTAGGTGAATAAAAGGAAGTAATTGATGAATGTTAATATTCTGAATCCGGAACATTGAGTGAAGTAATAGCTGCGTGAAACAACGGCCAATGCTTAACGCATTGCGTTTAACACGTATAGTAACTAAGAGCTGTTGATTCTTACGTATACCATCCGTTTTAGTGAATTTCGTTCCGATTGCCTAATCAGATTAATCTAAACTTTTTTAAAATGATTTATTGCAGAAAACGGCAGCCATAATGTAAGACAGCATCTACCAATTGACTAGTAAAAGTTTGAGATAAATAGTAAGTAAACTTACCTACACAATGGTATCGATTCTGGCATGATTCTCTAAACCTAAACTTAAATTTGGCAACAGTGCATCCTTGTCATTCTCTATGCAAAATGAAAAGGAGAGACTGATGTTAAGTTTAGAGAATCATGCCAGAATTGGCACCATTGGCTTAACAAAAACCAACAAGAAAATTACAATACGAAAAGCGAAACAAATACAAATTAAACGTATAAACATAATGTTGACATAGTTCCACACGAACCAGGCAGCAGACCGGACTCGAACCCGCACCCTTCGCTATCCGGGCGAATGCACTGACCATTATGCTACCGCGGCCCTGAGTTCAATTCCGCGTTTTTTTTCCAGTAAAGTTTTCTTTAGATTTAAACAACTAGCAATGAAATGATTAAAAAATTCAAAAATATAACTATAATGTAGACATACTAAATATAGACTTAGGTCAATGAAATAAGCATATATAAAAATTGGTTTTGAATGCTACACCCACATTGCAAAAAAAATACAGGCTTTGTTTGTTTTTCTGCACTCTCTATCTATATGTACTGTCGCTTTACATGATCCCCGCAAGATTGCTTTTGTAGGTATCGGTACCTTCCTACTTTATAGTGTGAAGAATTGACATTTCCTTAATTTCTTGATTCGGAATCAAGATAATTGTCTTGGGAGAAACATTTACAAGTACTTACAATCAACAATTCCTCACGTCATTACCTTTAATGTCATGTGAAACCTACTCAACAGGAAGAGGCCGTGAATGAATGCGAATGCATCCAACTTTAACTGTCTGCACTTTCTCGTATTCACGACACAATAGGTATTCCCTTTGTTATTTTGTTGTATGTAGATGGTAACAAGTCAACGACCTTAGTTTATTTGTTTTGCTCAGATCAGTCTTGTATCCACCGAGTTTATCATAAACTAAAAAAAAATAAAAAAATATAACAATCATACATTTTGAGCAACACACAGTAAAAGCGGATATTTTTAACTCAAGATCCGCTGATACACCACTAAATTTAATAAAACTGATTAATGCTTATAGTCACTGCCAAAAGTTTACAGAAATTGAAGTTATTACCTCAGATTATAGAACGACTAATGACTGCAGATGCAGCCGGGCCCAATGGCTTAATGTGCCTTCCGAAGCACGGAGGATCTCGAGATAGTAAATTTTTGGTCACCCATCCAATGCTTAATTGTGAAAGTAGCTTAACTTCAACGATCGCAGCCGAACGCGTTAACCACCTGCACCATCGAGCTCCACCAGCTCGAGTTTTAATAAAAACATAATATTCACAGGACGTATTCACAACACGATGCGTTGTGGTGTATACTACTTAACGCGGATTGATAGTCAATTTTGTCTTCGTATTTGCCATGGTGCCACGCATTGCGTATTGCGTGCGCTCCATCTGCCTTTTGTTCTCTAATTTGAGGTTATTACAGATGAGTTATTAACCCGTTGGAGATTATTTTATGTAATGAGTGGTGTGCATAAAAAACCTCAGAAACAAATACGTTTTTCAAAGCTTACCTACTTTATCAGTCATCTTTAACTCTTTTACTTTAACACGAGATTTAATAACAAGCTTGCCGTTCCATATTTCGGACTCCAAAAATCAAGAGGTTCATTTCTGCGTTGTAGTATTGCATTGTTTAATAAAGTTCTCCTAGATCTGATTGAGCTTCCACTGATTAAAGTTATATAATTCAAAGTCAAAATAAACAAACACATTCAAATTGGATGCAAAATACAACTCTTTTGAATCGTTCATATTTTTTCATTATTCACCTACTTACTTTATGTATCAAAATTAACGTGTATGGCCGTTTGTGTTACGGGTAAACTAGATCTTTCCATATTTACATGTCGCCACGACAGGTCAATTATGCAAGCATTAATATTTATGAATTCCGATTAGAATATTCATACTATGAGATCCATTCGTATTATGAAAGAGCATATCAACATATTGATTTTGGACTTTTAGAGGATTATTAATGCAAAGGCAATGGCGAAATGGATAACACGACCTTGGGTTATATTTCGGGTTCTACTTTATGGTATTTGCATTGGAGTGGAGATATAGACGCAAAGACATAAAACACCCTTTTTTATATTATTAAAGATGTACAACAAGCACACGTCCACGGTATTGACTGCTGTACACAAACTTCAACATTGTACATTACCAGCTCAAACCACATTCTCCTGGTGAGATCAAGAAATGCATCAGGCAGACATAGAAAAAGCTCCGGACTTACCTGACCTGAACCTTACCCATGCCCCGATCTCCTAATAACCTTGTAACTCTCATCTTTGATAACTGCATTACCTAGATTCACTTACTGCAACGCGAAAGATTGCCGACAGTCATAATACAAATTTTCATTAAATGACAAACCACAAAGTTTAATTTGTCTTTTTTTATATAGTGTATATTAACATTCTTTGTTTGTACCTAAAAACCGTAAAGCAATTACGTAAGCTACCACAATGTTACCTACTCTTCAGCTGCAGTTCAGAGTTGTATCTGACCTGTTTGAGTAAGACGGTGACCTACTAAGCGCATTCCTACGTCTACAGATCACAGTCGAGTCTTCGTCAGATTCGGCAGCAGTGTAAGGTGCAAAAAGCAATTTGAAATGTCATTATTAAATACGTTAAAGAAAAGCAAACCTAAATGCAAACCTTGAGCAACTCCCGAGTGCATGGTGAAGACTGGTGAGCCTACAGACATAATACTGTAAGTATATATAATATACTTCGCGTGAAAGAAATAGATACTGTAAGTATATATAAGTGATATACTTCGCGTGAAAGAAATAGATACTGTAAGTATATATAATATACCTCGAAAGGGTGACCAAAGGTCCTCCTTTAATTTAACACTCTTTTATTTCTTCGCATCACGTTCACCAAAACCGGAACTAAATACAAACCTTACGGAACTCTTGATGCTATATTATATTATGGTAAAGACTGGTGAGATCTTGCCTATGTCTGGAGCTCAGCCTTATGTCCGGGCAGTTTGTGAGTGGTGGAGAGGGGAAAAAACAGTTAGAAAGGTCATTAACGAGAACGTTAAAGAAAAACTGTCATAAATGCGAACCTTGTGGAACTCCTGATACTATTGTAAATGGTAAATACCGGTGAATTTTAAATGTAACGAATTATTCCGTATACACAGAAAAAGCACTTTCCGTCTCCTTGCTCCTACTACTTGCTACATTGCGTGCCCGATAGGGTCCGTAATGGTTTATGGCTTTTTTGGTATACATAGTACACTATTTTATATACTTATGGTTCAGTAATAATGATGGTGATGACGATTTTTTTTGTTTTTGCATATATAACGACTTTTTTTGAACTTATGGTTCAGCAATAACGATCATGATGATGAGTATGATGTTACCTGCGTCTGCAGCTCAGAGTTGTGTCCAGCCAGTTTGAGGGCAGCGGAACAACTCTTTCCCAGTAGAGCGCCGGCTGCGAGCACATGGCGCGCGACCCACTCCCGACGTAGGCAGCCTTGAACCCCACCCATTGGCAAGGGATCCAGGATGCAATCCCAGTCTGAAAAAATCAGTCTCAACTAGGGTTACCATAATTTCAAAAGTCCTGACAAAAATCCTGATATTTAGAAAAAACTCCGGACTTTTAAGTCACAAAATAGTACCATTACTCACTTAGTTAAAATGGTGTGATATTAAAATCCATATGTACTTTTATTATTCATATTCAATGTTATTTTAAAAAGTTGCACAATTTAAAGATCCGGACAAAATCCGGACTATAGTCTAAAAGTCCGGACATGTCCGGACTAATCCAGACGGATGGTAACCCTAGTCTCAACTCAATAAGTCCTAAATTGGTGTCGTATCCGGCATGATTCTGTAAACTTAAAACTTAATTTTACATTACAGAATCATGCTGTCCTTTTCATTCTTTGTAGAGAATGACAAAGATAACTGTTGTCAAATTTAAATTAAGGTTTAGATAAGTATGCCAAAATAGACAACATTCAACAATCTGTGAACACTGACAGCCTAGATTGAACCAAGCCTTGAGGACAGTATTATACAGAGTTTGAGCTATAGAGCTGCTTCGAAATGTTAAAATAAATTAATCATTATTTTTGGGTCGGTTTCAGCAATTACATTTTTCATTCTACAAATATGTGGTTAAGTTTACTTCTGAAAATTATCAATTTTATCAGTAATAACTTATTGCTTGACTGTGAAATATAAGCGCTGCTAGTCCTTCATCATTAATTTATTAATAAGCGTACAAATTAATCAATATGTTTTATTTATTTTAATACTTAACTTACGTAAGTGAAAGTTAAATGTGAAACACATCGGATCCAAAGCAATACTTAAAAAATAAAACCTATAAGATCTCATTAAAATATTGAAGGAAGAGCCGTTGACATTCTTGTGCAATTGCTACATTCAAATATGAACCATAATGCCAACACAATAACAGAGGTTTTATATCCCTATATAGAAGTGGTACCTAGTGCAAAATTGCGCACGCATATCACGTAGTAGCGAGCATTCAGGGCGGTTCCTTACGGCCAAAGCATCGCCGCATATTAATGTCTGCAATAGCGGCGAGTGACCACACTTAGGTATGTGGTTTTATTCTGGATCATTAAAGAGGCCTTGATTTCAACAGAATCTTTGTGGGGTTTCTCCCCTGTGTGACTGACTTTATTCACAGAGATAACACGGATAAGTGAAATAAATATAAATATTTACAAGGTTGCAAAAGAAGGTCAGAGAGCTTTTGAATTGTTGAAAGTTCTTCTATGGTTTATAAGAAATCGCTATTGTCTCGGCCAAAATATTTCCAATGTTCGTTAATTGTGTACTAACACTTAAAAACAGACATAGAAGGCAAATATGAGTATTGACCACAACGAATGACGGAAGTGGTGATTTGCTCGTTAACCTCTTTGGGAACCCATCTCACGATTGTTTGGTAGGTAAACTCAAACATTAGCTTGTTCCGTTTACCTGCATACATTTTGCTCAAGTTTCTCTAGTAGCGTCTTGAGCAACACGTAAGTTTGTAGATTGTATTAGTACAGAAGTTTAATGAAGTGTAGTATGTACTACTTATGTAATAAATGAGAAAATGTTTAAGAAAACATTTTAATTTTTAACGGCTATAAAGTTATAATCCACGATGCAGTAACTTTTTTCATTAATCCTGCCCGGATGTTTCGGATGCTTTACAGGCTCCGTGGTCTCAAGACAAGAAATAAATACCTAGGTAGATGTTTTATTTTAATTTAAATAAACATCTAGATGCAATAGACCAACATCTATACTATAGGTATATGTAAGTCAAGTACATCATGCATTGAACTTAAGAAGAGAGTTCTTGTGTTTTTATCTACAGTGAAACAAAGAAAAAACATACATATTAAATATTATAATGATAAATGTAGGTCAAAAATACCTGATGCAGGCTCCCAACTGGCTTCGGGCACCGGTCGTGAGGGTAGAGGGTTGTTCTGTTCGTCCCTCTCACCCAGAAACTCTGCTTCAGCAAGATCTCTGACCGCCGAAGACATTAATTCCACCAGTTCCTGGTTCCTGTATGCAGAATCATAATTATTGTTTCGAATATTTAATAACCTTATGTCGGCACTTTACTTGGCTATTCGTTTTTAGCTATTTGTAAACTTGACATCAGTTTGTCCTATTCATTCCTTAAAAAGCATGATTAGGACAGACTGTTGTCAAGTTTACAAATAGAAAGTACGAATAGCCCAGTTAAGTGCTGCAATTAAAAAACTATTTGTCACTATAATTACACTTCAGGACGAATTTTAAAATCTGAATGTCTTTACGCCTGTCTCGGAGCCTGCCGCCCCGGGCCCTTTTGCCCTAGGGTAAATACGACCTGTAATTCTGCTCGCTAAGCTGGTTTGTTAAGAGCGGACGCGAGCTGAGAGACATTTGAGAAATAGGTATTTTAATATAGCTGTCGTGCATTACAGTAGCTAAAGCTGAAAATTGCGTATAAGGGAAGATGCATATATAATATTTATGAAAATTTTATGATTAAAATGTTAAAAAAATATAAAAGAAATGCCACTGCAACGTTTTTATTTTACATAATGTTGTTTTTTAACAATTATTACGAATTTAAAATACTTGAAACAGAACGTATTTTAAAACACCAATCAGCGTTTAGTGACGTCACTCCGGTTATGACAAATTCTTTGAGGTTATGGTTGTTAAAGTAAATATTATTCTATGGGAATATCAATTGCGTTTTTTTACGTTAAATAAAAATGGAAGTTGCGTTTATCAAAGTAGACTCCAGGAATTTACCAAGAGTTAGTGTTGACATGGTTATAACTTTTTTTGTCCAAAGTGCAGAGTTTTTAAGTGTAGAAATGAAAGGGACTAAATTACTACGGTATGTAAATATCGTAGTTGTTAAACTTCGTATTTTATTCAGCGGCTTCTACAAATCTTACGGCGATAATGCAATCGGCTATGTCCAAATAAAAAGAGATGGAGAATTATGTACAGTAAAAGGTCGAGTTCTCCGGAGCATAAAGTACGTGAAGAAGGTTATCGTGTTACAGTTATTTTAAATGAAACGCAAAGCTTGGTTCAGTCCTGCCAATGTGAAGATTGTGCCATATATTTTAAACTTTATCTAATTTTCGACGTCATTCTCGAACTGTAAAATTAAAAATATGTTATAGACAGGTTTTGTAAGTATTAGGTAGGTTACTAATGCGTTTTTACGTACAAGCAGATTAATTAAGCATATAACAAGTATATTCGCCGACTTACGTCAAAGTGATCTTCACAGCATCGAATAATGGTCTTTGGAGAATAATTGTCATTTCTCTTCGCAGCTTGAAACCACTTTTTTTCAGTTTTGGGTCAGAAGTTCCAGCCAAAAACAATTTATTTGGAAACTTTGTTGAAGTAGATTGGCACAAAACATGAGTCAACACGGCTTTTTTTCGGAATATTAGTGGTATTGTTATGATCACATGATTTTGATGGATAGTCCATTTTAAATTTTTCAAAAAAATATTTCGAAAGTCGAAAAAATATGCAAAAGTATGAAAATTTAAAGCCAGCGACGAACATGTACGACCAGTGACAGACAGGAGTGACGTCATCGCAACCATAGGTTCGTTTTCGCGCGAAAATTTAAATTGTCAATTTGAAACCGCATTTTTTCCGATAAATCACAATGTTTTAATTTTTTATTATATCTGTGGTTTATTCTACATGGAATTCTTTAAAATGAAAACAAAAATAAAAATATTGCATCTTCCCTATTCGAGATTTGGCTCTCGACGTTTTCCTCCTCGAAATAATTTTACCCATAGAATAATAAGTAGTTTAACAAGGCCTAGATGTTTTGCTATTTTTTGTGAATGCTTATTGAATCTCCACACTAGGCGTCTTTAGTAGTGATAAAAAATAGTATATTTTTGGCATTTTTGAGGGCTTTTTGTTTCTGCGAACTTCAAGTTATCGAAAGAAGAAAGACATAAGAGCATAGAATGAGTAAAATTATATTTTATGTTGAAAATCATTTCGTTAATGATAAAAATCGAGGAGAAATCAGTCAAAAGCATTTGTATGGAAAAAACATTGCATGCCTCCCCTCTTAAGTATTAGTACCTACACAAGTACTTGGGTGCATTCTTATAGGAAGTTACAAAAGGCAAGCCTATAAGTATGACTGGGTACGATACGCTTTCTAAGTCCTACATTACGGGTCACATGCTAAGACATCTAACTGTTTTGTCAACAGTTCTTGTTATGTCTAGGTCACTTATAGAAATTTGCTTTCATCACTTAACTACGTTACTCAATACTTGTTAACCTTTTCGGTGTTTATGTTATGATATAATAATGATGTAACAGAAAGAAATGAACTGCAATTTACAACTATCTGGGTACATTATGATAGATTTTTCATTATTATATTCATTTTGAGGTCTTCGTTCCTAAAAAACTATTAGCCACGTAAAATCTGTATGCCCTCACCAAAACAAAAGCATATCCGACTTGGATTACTATTCATATTCATCTTAAGATGTATGTTCAGACGTATACATCTTACCTATCTACGGCTAAAAAAATGCTAGTTATTTTTTTTGTAACTTGGTGGCGAGTCACAATAGATCGTTAAGGTCGAAGTGACTACAGTTCCATCAGGACTGCATACTCCCAAAAATCTAAAATAATAATATATATAGGTATATTTTTAAATATTATTTCTTCATGTACTGTAGTGCGTGAGACTTTTGATAAGAAGCTACTTAAAATAACATGGCTCATCGAAGATTTCCAGACCTATGGACGATGGAGTTCAAAGATTTCTTAAATGTTCTAGTAAGGGCCACTTTCTCCAAATCACATGTCTTATGCGTTTTATCAGACATTTAATTAATTATAAAAAGCTGTGCCTTGATGATAAAATGCCTAACCCCTGACATTTTGATGAATAGGTATATACTTTTTATAGGTGGATAGGTACCACCTATAAAAAAAATATATAGTATAATTCGATAGTGGTTCGTGCTAAAGATACAGTACCCCTAGCACGAACCATTTGCGAATTCGAATAGTTTGCGAGTCCGAAATATCATTGTCAAATTTTGTATGGAAACTTAAACAGCAGCGCCAAAACGAGCGTAACGAGATCTAAAAATCAGTACACATTTGACAGAGACATTCCGCATTCACAAACTATTCGAAATCGATAATGGTTCGTGCAAAGGGTGACCCCTTAGCACAAACCAATATCAAATTCAAATCCTTAGTTGAATTCGATCTCGATACATGTCAAATGTGAAAAAGTTTTGTATGGAAGATTTTTAATGCTCGTTACGGTCGTGTTGGCGCTGTTCAAATTTCCTAAAACTTCTCGGCATTTGACGCGTATTAGATCGAATTCAACTATTCTAATTCGATATTGGTTCGCGCTAAGGGTACTGATTTGCAAATTATAACCTTATGACATTGACTTGATAAGACCCCAGTGAGTTGTCGACGTCTTAGTTCATTTCATACAACACGTCGAAGCATTCATGGAAACCGGTGCTTTCACTTTTATCGAGTTACGCGACCAACAGTGCATCTTATGCAACGATTAACTTGTGTTTATCATCAGAACCTGTTTGTTACAGCCGCAAAAGTATAATATAATAGCGTAAAGGAGGGGTTATTAACAAATTGAACCAGGTTAATTGTTTTTTTTAAACCTGAAGCACACGTAAGTTGTATAAAATTATGCACATAAAAGCAGTTCGCTAGTAGGAGGTTTACTGTGTTCAGGACTAGAGGCATATTAAGTGGCAATCGAAAATCTAACACATCAAGTTGGTACAGATGTCGTCAAAAATATATATATGCAAATATGTGTGAACATTTCCACCTACTGGAAGAAATCGCTATGGTGGGTATTGATGACCTAAGCACATCAAACATCCCACCATCAGACATTCATTGTAGATCGGGCAAGGTTGATAAGGGGACAAGAACCGCGATGAGCGCTTGATGTTTGCGCAACATCCGAGAGCAAATTGTGTAACCATCACTACCTATGTGAATGCGAAAACATTCGAAGGCTAAATACATAGTAGGTAACACTGCTGCAGTAGATTTTTTAGAAGACAGTCTCTTCGAATGTTTTTGTGTAAATGGCCAATGTCAAAAATATAGATTTCGATTCATTCTTCATCCAGTACAGTATCGTGTCGTGTACTTTGTTAACGAAACATGCAATCAGAAGTTCTGCACCGATCGACAATCATTCCTTCAAACATTTTCCATTTCAAAAGCATAGGTTATCTCACACATAGGCATTCGAAGAAACTCCTTGCTAGAAATAGATCACAAAACTTGGATCGTAATCGTATAAGTATGCTTTTGGTTTTGGCTCATGTATTCGATTAAAATTACAGTTCTTATTAAATGCGAAGGACGTTCGCTCGTGTTCGTTAACCCGAACTACCTTTTACCTTTTGCTTGACGAGTAAACATGTTATTAGCATCATATAAAGAATCATAATTATTGAAATTTTGAGACCAGAATTCTAAAAGAGAAGTCCTTTGATACGTTTTTTTATTCATATAAACTTTGTGACAGTTTTGTATTGTTTGCAGTTATTAAATATCCATTATGTACCGTCGTGTCAAGGCTGCAAGGTGCAATTACGTCTAACACAATTTTACGCACGACATTCATTTCTCATTTGCTATTAGGCAACACGGTGGCTGCATATTGATGTTGACAAAATGTTGTTATGATTGTAGTCTGGCATACGCAGTTCTGATCTGAATGCAGTTCTACTGCATCCTACCTGTTTATACCGCATACCGGCCGCAGGTCAATCACAAAGTTCCTACCTAATTGTGTAACTTTTATTCCTTTCAAGTACCCTTTCATTTCATAGTTAGGTTAACGCGTTCGGTTTCCAATCGTGGAAGATTTAGACAACTTTCGCAATGAACGGTCATCATTTTGTCATATTGACACTTGCTTTAGCTTTGAAGGGTGTTGCCACAGTCTCGCGGTAAGTGTAGTGTTATGAGTGGGCGAAGTGTCGAGAAAGCTGGTGCAGTAGATTTGGGAGACTGGGACTTTAAATGAAACATTCACATTACAAGCTCTCGCCCTAATTTCAACCACGTCTTCGTAGCCTCGGCTCAAGGATAAGCCAACATAAATAGTTTACCTCAAGTAGGCCAACGCAGAACCAATAAACCACCAGATTGTTACCAGTCAAGAGTGAGACCTTGTCTTCAAACCTATTGTTCATTATCAGTTGCCGCGAATCAATATATTTCTAATTTTATTAATCGCGAATAAGTGTTTTTAGCCCCTTCTTGTGTACTAAGTGGGAGGTGCGAATCATCTCCACTTGTCTCTCCTCAAGGATTAGCCCACTTAGGTTGCCTCAAGTTAGCCAGCTCAGAGCAGGAATTGGCCAGCAAGTAGTCGCCGCTCAATAGTGCGATCTTGTTGCCGAACATCATCTCTGTTACCTTCACTCAAGGATTAGCCGACTTAGCTTACCTCAAGTTAAGTTAAGAATTATCTGACGGCGAATTAATTCTGACGACGCAGCATGAAAAGGATGCGAAACGTCGAAAAAGTAATAAAAAGTCGCATTTTGAACCCGTTCAAGCGTGTTTTTCTTTTAATGAGTGGTGTACGTGATAACTTAAAAAAGAATTACCGAAAGTTGGCCAGTTTAGAGCAGGAATTAGCCACCAGGTAGTCGCCGCTCAGGACTGCGATCTTGTTGCCAAACATCAGTTCGTCTAATTCTCTCGCCGTCAGCTGTCTTGAGTTTATGTTCACCAGACCCTTTTGAACTAAGTGGGAGGTGCAAATTAGCTCCGTTACCTTTACTCAAGGATTAGCGAATATAGCTTACCTCAAGTTGGCCAGCTCAGAGCAGGAATTGGCCAGCAGGTAGTCGCCGCTCAGGAGTGCGATCTTGTTTCCAAACATCATGTCGTCGGGTTCTCCCGCCGTCAGCTGTCGTGAGTTCATGTTCACCAGCCCCTTGTGGACTAAGTGGGAAGTGCGAATCATCTCTGTCACCTCGGCCAAAGCTCGTTGACTAAAACAATATTATTTTTTTTGGTGACAATAAAATGCGTAATTTTTTTTTTGGGTGTCATCAACTCGTAATCTTATCTAAGCTCGTAATACGAAAATACAATATTAAATTGGTTACTAGTAATGTTAGTGTGAACTATATAATAGAATTGATATGAGCAACGCACCGAGAGATGAGAAGAATGTAATAAAATGTGAGACTTAGGAACAGGCTACAATTCGAGTAAAAAAACCTGGTAAACACGTTGGTTTTTAAATGGAATTGGATTCGGCATTTTAATTCGATAAGGTTTTTGACGACCGATGGTGCAGCGAAAAGAAAAAAATAGATATTTTTAAGCTCTTATTGGAACATCCTCCTGGGGAAGCACTTCATTTCATCAGAATACATATATACTGATACATATATAATTATATTTATAAAGAAACACATATTAAAAATCCACGACCTGAGTACAAATGCTTTTATTCATCACACAAACATCTGCCCCCACCGGGATTCGAACCCGGGAACCTCTCGAGTAGGTGACACTTTGAAACCCGGCGTACAAAACACTCGACCGCGGAGATTGACAGTGCATACCTGTGCAAAACACCAGCCGCTTTATCCTGCTCCATGTCTGGGATCTCGGGGCTGTGCCCGGCCGCTTTTGATACGAGCAACACAATGAGACCCCATGCTTGCATATTATTCTTGCCATTATATATGAGATTTCTGGGGAAAAAAATAACCTTATTAACGCAATTAGTTACACATGCGTTCGGTTTAAAAGGATATGTCATATAAAAATTGCTTAAACAAGATTTGAAACTATGTCTAACTTTTTTACCCGACTGCGCAATGCAAGAGCGCGAAGCGCGACGCGCAGACAGGGTATAGTGTTTATTAACAGTCTATATATGTATGTTTGTTCCTTTGTGGCACACTAGAGACCAAACGCCTGGACCGATTTTGATGATTCATACATCAATCGATTCGTCTCAATCATGGGAGTGCTACTAAAGATATGATAGTAATCAAAATTCAATATGGAGAAATATAGGCGCCATATTGTGACAAAGAAAAAAAAAAGGTGACAAAATATGTTGAGTGGGGTATCATTGTCTAGATATAATCGAAAATCATGTTTAGGTTCCTGACTCCATTTTTCATTTTATATTATTGTTAAGGATCTACCTCGCTTTAAAGTTGTATATTAGCCACATGCGCTTTTAATTTCAATCTTACGTTTGTATGGATCTTTGTTACTCTTTCACCTAAAAAATAATGAATGGATTTTAATGAAACTTAACAGTTATATAGCTCATATATTATAATAACATATATAATAATTTATGTAGTTATTGAGTGAATTGGCCAATATCTAACAATAAGTGTCACATAAGACAGAAAAAAATCTCCCATCTGCGAGCCATTTTTGTCCTGCATTGCAAAAACAATAAAAGTTACATGAATGCAATGTAGAGTGAAAATGTATCTCTTAAATAGTACAACAAAAAAGTCCGTGACACCATATCTATTTTTAATATGTAAACCATTACCGCTAAAATAGTGAATCAGAACTAAAATATTATTTGATATCTATTTCCAAACTGCACATTTTGTATTAACAAATTATTTTTTATCAAAACAAATACTTTTATCGCTTTTGATATTTAAAGACGATAATATTTGCCTTTTATACTATGTCATTTTGATAAATATTTAAAAAGTTACAACGGTGACAAAATGATAGCGCGGTGTACTATGTATGAGTAAACTGCGGCAATACTAAGGCCCGTATTACAGAATGACAACTAAGTGTTAATCTTTATTTGAGTACAGTTGGAAAGGGATGTCGCTATGTGCTATATGTTGTGACCTCCCTTTCTAACAATGCTCAAGACTAGATTAATTACTGAGAATCTTTTTATAATACGCGCCTTAGAGAAGACATATAATTTAGGTGTTTATAAACGTAGATAAAACCTAGGCGAAAAAGAAAAAATAATGGGCTACTCGCAGTATCTGATCCTATACAAAATACAATAAAACTGTGATACAATTCCTTCTTATTAAATGATGAAAAATAAATTATCAAAATTCTCAGGTATTTATGATTATTAAATTTTAATGAAAAACTCAGAATTACATTGTTTTTAATTTTTTTAACGGTATTACTTAATGTTACAAAAATAGGGTTACTTAATATAATGACAAATAACCCATTTTTCGCTAGTAGGTACATACTTATTGGAATCCCTGTATTTATTAATCAGCTCCCGATAATATTGGTTTTGTAATTATAAACGCTAATTCTGCAAAATTCAAAGTAAATAATATAGAGTTTTATAGGTAAATCACCCCTTCGAAGTGTAGGGTGATGACCCTACGCCTATAAGTATTGCGATGTTGTAGCTTAGAACCAAGTTCCCATCTACTTCTATAGGGGAATTCATTATAATCGATTTAGCTATTAGGGCATGGAAGCGCAACAAACAAACTCACTTTTGCATCTATAATATAGGCTGACTGTATATTATACTTACAAGTGATCCACCCCGGCATTGTATGAGCGAAACTGTCACTCGGACAAAATGTATATAAATAAAGAAAAATGTAATAATAAATAATGTAGCTACCTTATGATGAATTAATATTTGAAACCGGTTCAGTAGTTTGACTGATTATTTGTTACAAACATACAAATCTTGCCTCTTTATAATATTAGTATAGATAGTTAGGATAATAGTATTTAATTGATGAAAACGATTTAAAAATAAAGTAATTACCTAATAGGTTTATTTGATTATATTTGTAAAATTTACTTAGCATTTGTGCTTAACAGTGATACGTTATTTCTTTATACAAAAAGAATATTTGGAAAATAATTGCCATGATTGCACTATTTTCAATACCTTCTAGGCTGGTAGCAGCACGCTTGATAGGTGGAAGTACTCTTCATTCGAGCTTTACACTACCAATAAAAAAGGGTCGATCACAAAGTCTACTTTAACAGTCGGAACCCATTAGATATTCAAGAATACATAATATTTTGCAATAATGGGTCCCGACTGTTAAAGTAGCTTTGTTCCTTATTAACAGAATTATAGACTACTGGACTTGTTATTTTCTTTTCAGTTTTTATTTGAAGTACAATTAAGCAGGCGGGTTTTTTGATTTTTTAAATTGATTGTAGGAGGACCGTAACTCCCTTACTTATAAACGAAGACTACACTTGGATTAGTTTATCCATGTTTTGTCTCTGTTTCACATCACATCACCAGCCTTTTAATGTCCCCACTGCTGGGGCACAGGCCTTCCTAATCGATGGAATAGGGAGATTGGGCCATGACCCACGGTTACTAAGGCCGTATACAGAAAGAAAGCCGAAAGCCGATCGGCGCTTATCGGCGCCGATCCTACCTACATAAAAAAAAAAAAAACATAAAGGAAGCCGATTAAAGCAGATCAAGCAAAATGTCGGACTCATCGGACGATGATTTGGTTTTGTTAGAAAATGTTTATTTAAAAATGCGAAAAACAGCTATAAATAGAGAAAGGAAACGTTTCGGAGAATACCATCATTTATTTGTAAAAAAAAAAAATTTGATGAACAAAGATTTTATACATATACAAGAATGATTCAAGAAACATTTTATTACATTTTGGATTTAGTGAAAAACCGTTTGATGAAAAATTGGGGCAATTGGCATAAACAACCAATCCTTCCAGAAGAAAGATTTGTTGTCACCATTCGGTAAGTACGAAACAAATAATTTTAGCGCTTAGTTAATAAAAGATAAAGTTATTAGATTTATCAAATGATTATAACTTAGATTGATTTAATCTAAGGAAAATAATTCAAATACAAATTATTTATTATTCGGACCAGCGCGTGTCGGTGCTTATCGGTCCATAGAAAAAGGATCAGCGCCAATAGGCGCCGATAAGCGCCGATCGGCGCTGATCGGCGCCGATCGGCTTTCGGCTTTCTTTCTGTATACGGCCTAAAGCGGCTGAAGCTGAAGCGCGCGACAGCAGCCGACTAAGGTAAGGGAGAGAGGGGTGGGGAATCGCGCGAGTGACGTGTGGCGGCGTTTTGTATCGGCGCATTAAGTGGCCGGTACGGACCACAAGAAGCGAGCAAAGACGATTTGTAGCGTGTGGCGGCCACCGGCGTACCGTTTTTGGCGAGTCCATATAAAATGTATGAAAACTGCAAGAAGTTCTGTGGTTGTGGTCGGTGGCCCCTGTGCAACGACAGTAACGGCTTAACGTGCCTTCAGAAGGATTGAATAATAATTTCAGTGACATAAACAAAACACGGCGTAACTAGTTTAAGCTTATTCCTTGTTTATTAAAAAGGGGGTAAAGGTTTAAAATACCTATATAATTTTTAGTGTTCCGTACTTGGAAAGGAAAAACGGAACCCTTATAGGCAGTGCCGTAAATAGTCTTTTCTGCGCCCTATGCGAGCTTCTATAATTGCGCCTTTGTTTTTTTTTTGATATTATACACACATCAAAAGTGTCTAGGGATCAACATATATTTTTGCAATAACTTTTCTCCTGATTGATATTAATTAAAATTTTCTTTAAGGATTCATCAAATAAAGTGTTTTCGTTTGTCACAGTAACGATAAACCAAGTCACCTTTGCATTAATAAAGAAATTTGCCATTTTCCTAATAAAGGGATTTTTGACATTTGAACCACTAACACAAAAGTTCGAAAAAAAGACTGAAATAACAGTTTTCTCTAAAATTTTATAGGGTAACTTAAACAATTAATAATCCGTATTTCTACCGCGAACACTAACAACACAAGAACATCGGTTTGGCATACTCAAAATGAGTTCATCCAAATCACGCTGTGGAATGGCCGCCCATGTTCGTTGCAACAACAAAAAAAGGTCTTCTTGCGACTGGATACCCTCCATATTCGGCAGAGCTCTTCTCTGTAGCATATCCCATGCATGCTCAATCGGGTTCAAGTCTGGCGACTGAGCAGGCCAGGGCAGGACATTGATGTTAGCTGCGGCGAGAGTCTGTCTTACAACTCTTGCGGTGTGCGGTCGTGCATTATCATGCATTACCTGAAATAAGGGACCGATTTGCACTTGTAGAGGAACGATGACGTCTGATACAATCGTCTCAGCATAAATTTGAGCGTTGAGGTTGCCTCTGATCCAAATCAACTCAGTTCTTCCGCCGATCCAAATACCCGCCCATACCATGATGGTTCCACCACTATAAGGATGGACTTCCTGGCAGGATTTTAATCGCTGTTGGCGTCCAGGGGTTCTCCAGTGTCGTATACGTCTTGTATCCGGTCAAATACCAAAACGAGACTCATCAGAAAAGCACACGAAACGCCATTGTTCTTCTGCCCAATTTCTGTGTTCAAGAGCCCATTGATATCGAATCCTACGATTGTGCATTGCTATAGGTGGTACCCGTAGCGGTCTTCGGGAATGAAGGTTCACTTCATGCAAGCGGTTTCTGACTGTTTGGTCGCTAATTAAGTTCCCTGAAGAGTGATGAAGCCTCACGGCTAACATCATGGCGGTTATTGTTGGAGCTCTTCGAGTTAAGATTTGAATGTATCGGTCTTGTCTCCGTGTGGTGCAGCGATACCGTCCTCCATGGCGCTCAGCCACGGTACCAGTGCTTCGGTATCGTGTCCAAAGTCGACTGACAACACTCTGACTTGTATTCAGAGCTAAAGCCACAGTACGTTGCCGGGAACCAGCTTCTATCATTCCCACGGCTCTGAGCATTTCTTCCCTGCTTAAATGACGTCGCCGCTCCATAATAACGTTGGTTTTAATCAGTAGTAGGGAAACAGTAGCACTAATAATGTCTTCAATGCGTTGTATGTTTTTATAGGGAAAATATTGACAGCTGATTTTCATCTTTTACTCGAATTTGATTCACAGTTCCTGATTCAAATTATGAAATGCACCAAAAAGGATCCATATAAATTTATAAAATCATAAATTTATTACAAAGCCACATCTCAATCTCAAGAAATCCGCATAAAAATGCTTGATCCCTAGACACTTTTGATGTGTGTAGGTACCCTTTTTTTTACGCAGGTAAAACCTCTATTTACAGACGTTGGCGCCCTTAAGGGGCACACCAACGAACGGACCTCACACCTAGCCTCTCGCAAGTCTCACGGGTGCGAAACGGATAAGCCGTTAAGCAGTCCGCGCCATACTATCCGCTAAAAACATCCTGCAAATACCCTCTACGCTGTTTAAGTGCGGAACCGCGAGATTCCCGTTAAGGGACTTCACCGCGTTTCCGCACCCAAAAGTCCGGCCTATCCGGGGCTACACGGCAGGAATCACCCGGGTATTTTGGGAGATCCCGCAGACGTGCGCAGGACTGCCCGCGCTAGGAGCTAAGTGCGCGGCTTACTGCCCACCTCACCGCTCCCCATCCAAATATTATAGGTACCCTAGCAGAAATGCTGTGTCTCTGCCGCTTAGTATGCGCGATGTTTTTTCTAATTCGACGTAAGACGAAGACGTTAAGACGTTTTGGATGATACTGGTATGTAGGTACGTCTATGTTGGAATCGAGTTGTTGTGTTGGGGTCGCAGTGGGAACTTATCAGGAGCAGACCGAAAAATAATAATCCTGCCTGCGGTCTGGCCATTTAATCCTTGCGCCCCCCAGAGTCTACGCCCTGTGCCTGGGCACCGGTGGCACCGCTCTATTTACGGCACTGCTTATAGGATCACTTTGTTGTCCGTTCGTCCGTCAGTCAAGCCCCTTTTTCTAAGGAACGCGTAAGCGCGCGAACGCGAAAAGGAAGTATAATTCTGAAATTGTTTCATGACATATATATATTATTATATATTACAGGTTTGTACGGAACCCTCGGTACGCGAGTCCGACTCGCCCTTGGCCGGTCTTTTTTGATGTTTTTTAATAGCCACGTATAGATTTGAATTTTCGATATGTAGTCTCAGTACCATACTATCATCGATTGCTCAATACTTATACAATCCAGACACAAACTAATACTGGGAAAATAAATAAAGAAACTGGGCCAATGCGTGTCGATCCACGCGCAATGTAGGGGCCCATAGTGGCCCTTCACAAATTGCAAACTTTGTTGTTACCTATCTGATATTATGCATTCCAAAATTCATTTTTCTAGTATCTACTATTAATCTCTGAATTTTTTTTTAAATGTGTATGCTGTTGGTCGCAGATGACCTTTACGGCTTGATGACGGCGAGATCCTAAGGGGACCTCAATCCGAGAATTGGCGAGTGCCTCTAGAGGTATTCCAGGCGGATGGCGTCTCCCCATGGGGAGAGTCTTCTCTTCATCTGGAGCCTCTAGACCACTCGAACCTGAGGGGGTCGGCTCAACTAGAGGGCGTCTCTGAAACTCGGACCTCGGCTCTAGTTAGCCGTTTTCGTGGGGTCTCCGAAATTAGCTGCGGACGGACGTAAAGTCGACAGAGCTACATTAAAAGGGTTCCTTGCTAATTGGCTTGGAACCCTAAAAACTGTAAAACATATCTAGCCACAAAGAAGACAAAGGAAGTTTTCCTGCTTAAAAAACCATCTGATTGCTGACTGTTAGCTTTTTTTCTTAATTGAAATGTCAGTACCCTCAGGATAAAAATAGATACGTAATTCATCGTGATACATTTGTTTTATGTGCTTTTATAAGTACCTTAAGTTCAAGGTCCATCTTTAGATTTCTAGCAATAAACAGACTGGTGTTATTAATAGCAACATTAGGTAATGAAGCGTTGCAATACAACACGAAATATTGGTTGCATGACTAAGTTACAAACTTAATGAATATGCCCTTTAAAATTGGTGCTACATAGCAAATAGAAAAAATATTGTTCATACTTGGCAGTTTTCAATAAAGGATGGTTGCTGCCAACCAATTTCCGGAGATGAAGTGCGACGTTAGCAATCTCATCGCTTAAAACCCATCGGAGGCTCAGAAAGGACGTTGGATAGCCGACAATCTTCTCGGCTTCACTCACTGCTCTGTTCCAATCTGGCTTAGTGTTATGCTGTGTAACATTCCTGCGCTGCGTACTACACGCACTCGTTACTTCACCACAAGGTCTGAAAAGTTTCGTCACCGCTGAACTTGATGCAAATGCTTTCACCACATCACACCTCACAACACTCCTCAATCTGCTCAAACTCATTTTTCAACGAATTTATAGCAAAAAAACGCAAATTATTTCCTTAATGCACTGCACTAAACAATTTTTGCGCAATATAAATAATATTTACAATATTTTTTATTTGCACCTAATATTTCTTCGTTTGATTCACTCCCAGATATTTTTTCAATGTGGAATTGATTAATTTGTTCACTTCAAGACATTTGTAAATATTAACCACCAGAACTTTAGGAAACTTTTGTTTTGCCGCTTAAAATTTAACTGTTCGTTGTCTTCGGTAGAAGGTTGAATACTCTATGAACGGTGACGGATGTCGTCTGTCTACTCACTTCCATAGACTACAGAACGAACAGTCTATGCCAGAAGCAAAGCAAAAGCAACCATCTGTCATCCATCTTCGACTAGTGTTGTGCGCAGCTCTGCAGAATAGGGCCTTTTTTGAACACAATTACATTTAATGTAATCGCATAAATGTAAATATTCATAATATTAATTTTTGATAGTGCACAGAAAATCATTTACCTACCTTTATAAATTGAAACTTATTACACCGCCACGAGTTATTAGTTCATGTCGCATTACATCTTTAATTGCTATTCAACAATTTGACCTTATCAAGCATCTGTGGCTCAATGGTAGAAAGCACGTCTGCTACGTGGGCGGCCTAGGTTCGATTCCCAGCCTAAGAAGGACTTTTTTGACGTGATTACTTCTTATAAATAGATGAACACCGACTGTACGCATGAAAAAGTGTGACGTTCACGTGATGTGACGTCATGTCAAGTTGGTTCAGCTATCCATGGTGTATGAGGTGAAATAGAGGGTTGCCGTTGAAGATGGACGTTGAAGTAACAACGGCTGCTACTAACTATTTGCTCAGGATATAAATTAATTATCGGATTGTGCATCAAATAAGTACAAGTTCAACTCGCGTGGAAAGTGTTCCGGTTGTAATAATTAAACCTAATCCAAATTTGTTTGATGAAACTGAAAAAATATTGCTTGAGTGTCGTGGAAAAAAGTTAAAAAATATTTATATACTACCCACCAATTAGCACTAGGAACGCGTCAAATCTCCCTTTTCTATAAAATAAAATAATCCTACTGACCAATCCGCATTGGACCTAGTGTGGAATGTGCGGTTAGTAACTTCATTCTTATAAAATTTAATGATGATAGATTTAGTACTTTCATCGATTATAAATGAACTCGATTCTTTTTCCCATTACTATCTTCACAGTTTCTCTACAGCTAACGCCACCTATCGAGCACTGCAAATACTTTATAATAAACCACTGAATTCATTCACTAGCATGCTACTTCATTCAATCTCTCTTTTAAATTCATTCATTGCCAATTGCGAATTTGCCATTCACTCAGTCAGTCAATCGCGCTCCGTTCGTGTTTGTGGTTGTCTCTTCTGTTCTGTCGCTGAATAGAAACTACAAATTACCGGTTTCTGTGCACTCTAAAATTATAAGAAATTTGACTGTATATCACTTTTGGACGAACTGCCTGTGAAAGTGCAAACTTTACAAGTAGTTGTGTTAAGTAAACGAGTTTTATAAATTCATCGAACTCAATCTGAGGTATGATTTTTTTCTCCTAAAGTATCTGAAAATATTTTAGTTCTTCAATACATTCTGTCCACGTATTTTACGCAGCACGTGGAATATGCATTGCCAAATGTATACGTGGACTTGCACGGCTAGACAGCCACTGTCAAACTAATCTTCCCCGAAAAGTTGTCAATTTTAGCAACAAAGAATCCGGTCATATTCCATTAAAAATATATCATATAAGGCAAAGTAAAATGTTGCATTTGTTTTACTAATCGGAATCTAATAGGCGAATTAAGTGAGAATCTTTTAAAAAGGATTTTATTATTTATAATAAAATTACGAACATTAGGTTTTTTACCACATTTCTTTTTACTTACAGCGTTCTATCTTATTTTAATAAAAATATATATAATGGCTTTTAATATCTAAGACGCCTCTTCATTTCCTACATTGCGATCCTGTTTCACACCTTAATTATTATTAACATAAACATTAGGTACTTAGCAAAAACTAAAATAGTTGTTATTTATGTTATAGCCATCAGAAATTGATATTTTCCTGCACTTAGTCATAAACTCGTGTGGCAGATAATTGTATATCTATTAATTAAACATAAAGCACGATCTGATTACTTTTATATGATAGAGATCAGAGATTCCCAATCAAGGATACTGTCTTGAATTAGTTTAAGATGGATAGACTGCCACTGTCGCTATTACTTTTGCATCATTACCATCATCATCTTTAACTTGACAAATCAGGTGTAGATCTACTCGAGACATCACACTTTCACAGTTCATTGAGATTAAAACTCCCAACTCACTCTTGGCCAAATTTTGGTTGGCTGTAATTTTTAGTTCATGAGATGTGGCTAAAGCAGTGAGATTTATAATAATAATGTTTTTGGAAAGGCCTGTGCCCCAGCAACAAGGAGATTGATAGGCTGATGATGATGTTGATGATAATAATGTTTCAAATTGTTGCTTTTATGAATCTCTGTCAACCTGATGAGAGATTTGACATCCTATATATCAAACAAGTTGCGCAAAAGAATAAAATGTAGCTACTGCTTCACCTGAAGCTAGTGTGTTAACTCTCCATAATATCAAATCAATTAAACAAGTTCAACCTAGCGTTAGTTGACTAAGTGTAGCTGCAACTATAAAATATTTCATAAGGCATTTAAATGCATCTAAAAAATTACATTATGTGCAGATTGAATGATCCTTAGCCAGTTAGACAGACCTGGGCAAAGGGTTTAAAAAATAAATGTTTTATTTATATGCATTTTAATATAAATATCAACATACATTATCCTTGCCCAGACACAGAATGTAGATGTGTGTGTACATATGTGTGCATTGCATAAACAATACAATATGAAGAAGTGCTGCATAGCAAATAAGAAGTCATTTTTACTGCAAATTTATTTTGACAATAAATCGAGAAATATATCTACCTCTAGTCTTCTAGCCTTACTTTCTGGAAGCTATATTATATGAATCTAGTAGACAATAAACAAATACAGCAGATTATGTATGTTGTACATAATATTTTTTTAACCTTAGCTATGTATAAGATTTCAGAGAAGCCTTATTTTGTACATTTTATCTTCCAAAAGGATAAAAGAAAATAAAAAATAGTTCAAATTAATCCAGCATCTCATAACTAATGATAAATCAGAAGCTTTTTCATTAATGTGTCTTTTTATTTTGTTCAACTATATTTCATATAAATCTTGCACGTGTCTTATCTCATACTAATCATGCCTAGTATTTATTTAAAACATTCTTATAAAGTCTCCTGGTACTGAAATTACATATTAATTCACAATCACAGTATTCGAAATAACACGCCATTATGATTACTATATTTCCAGCTTTCATCTGCTTTACAATTCCAATTTAGACTGTCACTGTTTAATTAAAACAAGGGCCCAGAGTTAATCCTTGTAGCACTCCCAAATGAACAAATTTAATTAACCTTGTTGACAAAGACATGCGGCTTTGCCAATTTTGGAATGTATAACTACATATATGCTATTCGATTTTTTACACACCTGTTAAAACAATAATTTGAAGATTTGGTTTTAAGTGGCATGGCTGGTGTTATGAGCATATGCATATCATTAATCATGAAAATTATTTTATTTAAAATGATACAATGATGATAACATATTAGTTTTCCAATTGGTTAAATTCTATAGTGATATTTATTTAGTATCCAACTAATAGAGGTCATCGACATGTACACCTTCCCAAAAGTCACCCAAAACAAGTTGTTTTTTTGCTTGCATCATCATTATTATAATTTTTAAAATTCTCATTTCTTCACGGTATATGGCTTCAATAATATAATTAAATTACAGAAGATAGGGAGTTGATCCAATTTATGAGTGTCAATAATATTTGGAAGTTGAGAATAATTTCAAGTACAATACTACAAAATATATGAAGTTAACTATTTTTATAAAAATAAATACATGTTTTCAAGTCTTCATACTTCCAAAGCACCCTAATTATTATCACCCGATTACTAATGTCCCCACTTCTAGGGCAGACAGAAGCCTTCTCTACCGACAGACAAAATAGGACAATGAGTCTCTAGACTAGACATTACCCAAGCGATTCCATTGCCGATTGGTGGGGTACTAACGGCAACAACGCAACTGGGACCATAGGCATAATGTGCCTTCTAGGGCAAGGTGGCGCTCCAGATATAAATTTTAGGTCTCACATCCCATCCTAACCAAGCATTGCGAAATAGCAGAACTTCGACGATTGCAAACCGAACTTGCGACCGACCACTGCGCCATTGAACTCGCAGATATCAATTGAGCTCCTCTAGCACACTACGAAATGCTAATACTTACGTTATCTTGGAAAGTTTTATAGTGATACAAACTCGTGACGTTTTCGCATCATTTCTTGTCAAAAGTCAAGTGACTCAATCTCAATTCGCTCGCTAATTATGTGAAAAGTTCAAGTAACTTAATGGAATTTTATTAAAAAAATGTAATTTTAAATGTTTTTATTCAACAAAATAGATTTCATTATCTGTCGCGGGTCGACATTTTTTTTCGCAATTCGTATTTTTAACTTATCTACGAATCAACTTAGATTTAATCAAAAAGGCTATTTTTTTTGTTATCTTAGCGAATTAATCAAATCTCATATTAGACATTTGTGGTTTTGAAAGATAATGCGGCCAATTTTTGTTTATGTTCATAAATGGTTGTCTTTACATTCATGAATCATTCATTGGCTTTAAACTTATTATGTATTGAAATCTATCACACATACGGTTCTCCCTATATACCTACGTTACAAACAAATATTTGTGTCCATGACATGACATAGAAAGCACTATTTTGAGTAATCGAGACTTTCATTAATGTATTGTATGTAGGTAGGTAAGCAACTGTGTGTTGTGTCGTGTTTACCAAAAATTATCAGTTTAGTATGTAAAATGGAATAAGAACATTCACACAGCATACTTACTGATATAAGAGGTCAGATTCAACACGCCGGCAACTTGTGCAGAGGATAATCCTAATAGTAAATAAAAAGAAATCTTTAAAGTAAACTGTGTCGTATTCAATTCGATGAGATCTTGCCTTGACCTTGTTCAGGTGTTGAAGAAGATTCGTCGTTCAATGTCATTACTATTAAGTGTCTTACATGGATGATGTTTAATGCTGCTAAAAGAGAATAA